TATGCAGAGAGGAATCAGGTTGCTTCTGCACTAGCTTCCCCTTTGATATTGCCAGCCTTGGTTACTCACTTTTTTGTGGACAACCCAGATTGTGTCATTGATAAATCATTACATCCCAGTGTTGTGTTTTCTGTCTTAATTCTCCTCCCATCTTTTCATGGACCTGTTGATTTGTGTCATTAAAAAAAGAAGAAGTTAAAATGCAATTTTAGTCCAGGCCTGTCAAATGTGGAAAGACAAACACCTTTCAGGGCTATTAATTAAAAGTTTCCTCCTTTCTGGCTCTGCCCTTTCTTCCCCATCCTGTTGACTGTGGCTCAGGGAGAATTAATGAATATCCTGTATATCACTTCTCAGATAACCTATTTTAGGATTGTGCTGTAGTGTTATTTGCCCCTGGTTATCAGTTTCTCCTCTGAAGTGGTGTCTGTACTTTCCATTCCCTTTTTCTTTTCATTTTTATATAGTGAAACAGCTGTATTATCCTAAATCAAAATTTAAACAAAAAACAATGGGGAAATTCCCTTAGCCACATCCAACGGGAATTGATAAAATAGGCTGGAAACTATAAGCAGAAAGCTTTTTAAGTAACATTGGGGGGTTGGCTGAACAGAATGTGCTTCTGAGTTAACATTACTAGAAGAATCTTAGCCGCAGAGAAAGACTTTGGTGGAAATATTAGAGGCTGTTGAAGCTCTGTGCTTGAATTCTACATTTAGATGATTGAAGAAAGGTCTCAGAGGTGCTTAAGGGGATTGAGTGTGGAACCAATAATTTTATTTGTTCTGAATGGATTCCTAGGAAGAATTGTTTCCCAGTTCACAACTGTGGCTTATATTGTGGTGTGTGTTTTTTGTCAGAAGTTGGTTGCCAGGTGGGGTGGAGCCATAGCACCAGCTTCTCAACAGGTGGGTCACTGTTGGTTACTGGGAAGGAGAGGAGAGTGGCAAGGCAGAAGAGACTTTTACCAGTGCATTTGCCCCACACTGATCTTCCTGCCACCTCACCCTTGCATCCTTCCTGGCAAGCAACAGTGACCCACCTGCTGGGAAGCTGGGATGGTGGGTCTACCCCACCCAGTGAGCCACTTCTGGTTGTTTTTGAATATTTGATACATTCTTTACCAGCTGTTTAAGGCCACATAAACTTAATGAAGCAGGATCTGCATGAGCATCTTGCACCCACACAGTTTTTTGTTGTGGTGTTTGTTTGGTTTTTTTTGGGTCCATCTTCTTTCATTCCTTTGCTCAAGCGGGGAAATAAACCAGGAAGCAGCAGTTAATCATAGCTTCCCAAACTACATGATGTAGTTAATGGCTTCCTAACAAGACACCATTCAAAAGCTAATTTTAAACAATGACTGTGTGATTGTGAACAATATGATGTTGTCTGCATGTCACGATAAACCATAGTTTACTATGAACATGGAGATTGCTTCTGCTTTGCTCCTACACTAGCACTAGAAGGAGCGGCAAACCACAAGCCTGGCTTAGTGTTACATCGAAAGCAGAATTTGTCATTTGCTTCACTCAAAGCTTGACTCTAAATTATAGTTTGCATGAACAATCCACAATCCCAGGTTTGGATGCAGTTGTAAGGCAAGCATTGTGGTTTCTTGCTACTACTAAGAGAGGAGTAAAGTGGGAGCCATCTGTGTGTTCATGGCAAGCCATTAACTATGGTTTACTGTGATGTGTAAAGACAGCCTGTGTATTTTCCTTTGAACTTTTTGACAGTGTTTTCTGGCACAAAATATGTTCCAGAAGTGCAGCCATGCTCATTTTTGATAGCAAAATCAACAAGAAGTCCTTTGGCAATTTTAAAGAGTGAAGTATTTATTGTGGTGCAATTCTTAATAGCCTAGAGATTGCTGAGTGAGATGTATGAGGTTATATGATGAAGTATAGAATATATTTATATGTTAATCATTGAACTAATTTTAGATGAGTTTTCAGGTCAATTGATGATACCATGCTGTGAGCAATAGTCTTGCCTTTCCCGATTTCATTAAACTATGTGTGTCTGTCTGGACTACCTTCTTCTGTGTTGATATAAGCAAAGTCCCTCATCATATGTAGCAGCAATAAGAACTATTTCCTTAATATTCCCTTAATATTGCTGGCTTTGTCTCCAGAGCAGTGTCATTAAAATTTCATGCATGGAGTATTGGAAATAAACTATTTGGTATATTCAGTGAGTATAGAATGTCATAAGAATACTTAGTGAAACTCATGCCTAGAGCTTATTTCTAACTTATTTAATAAAATATTGCTGAAATTTTGTTCTTTGCATACTGTATGAGGCCTATGGTGTTTCATTTTACTACGGATTTACATTTCCGTGACTTAAATCAAGGCTTTGAAACCAACAGGATGTCTCCTGGTTACATAACAAAATGCATGATTTTATGGAAGAGCACAGGGATTCATGTTCCTAGAAAATTTGATGCAAAGAAACTCTACCCCAGGAATTATATAGCTGTAAACGATCAGAAGACAATTTATTCTGAATCTTTGCACATGCAAATGGGTCTTTCGTAACAGACCACTAAAACTATTTGCTTCTTTACTTTTAAAGCACAATAGACACGAAACACAGTACAATAATTCCAATAGTTAAAGCTCTGTTACTGGTTTACAGCCTTAAGCTTATTATTTAGGTTGGTTTAGAACACAAGAAAAGAAGGGATGAAACCATATAATAGAAAGTACAAATAATCTAGAATAGCTCATCTGGCCTCCATTCTGTTTGCATCTGTTGCTCAGGATCCTGTGTGTGCAGTATAACAATGGTTGCTGCATGTAAACCTGCTCACTGCAGCATGGCCAGGCTCAACTGGGTGTAGGACAAGATGATGTTTAGACTGGAAAAAAGGCGAGGTGGGCCACAGGGTTCTGTCTAGAGCTCTGGGAAACACAGAGCAAGCTAAAATTGAGCTCTTCTCCAGCAGTAGCACCAGGTACAACATAACTGTTAGTGCCACCTGTGCTGCAGGATGCTGCTGTACTTAAAAGGACTCAACCTTTTTCTACAAAACTCCTATTGCAACAGAGCAAGGGAGGGTCAGGTATTCTAGGGTCTTCTAGAGAGGCTTTAGGGTCTTCTAGAGAGGATAGCAGTGGCACATTCTTGGGCTGGGAAGAGACCACAGCCTACCCCAGGTTCATCTGGTACCAGTGCCTCTGGGGTTGGCCCTGCATGTTCTTCTTTCAGCCTCTATCACCTGATGAGGAGTCTGACTCTCAGTTCATGACACATATGTGTTAAGATCACCTACAAACACTCTTTTCTAGGTGTTCCTGTTGCCTGAAGACTGGTGGGTGGTGTCTGCTGACAAGACCTTCTCTGTTGTGGTTCCTAGTCAGGGGTGGGGTGCTTGGGAGTTTCACATTTTTTACCTTTAAGCGCCACAGGAGGACCTTTATATCTTCCCAGAACCTTGTAAAATTCTAGTTTAGTTTGATTTTATTTTGTGGCCTTGCTCATGTTTTCTCTTTAATCAAACATTGTGTTGTTGTTGTTTTAAGTTACATTGTCATTGGTTAGTTGTTGTTTTTTAACTACCAAAGATAATACAATTTCAAATAATTAATAAATAAAATTTTGGCAGTGGCCATGATATATTTGTTCCCATGGAATCTCATGTGACAAAGTGTCCATTTGCATTACCTTAAAAAGGGGGGGGGGAGTGACTGCAAATGAAGCACCTACCAGAAGCAACAGGTGTGCTGGACTCAGTAACAGCTCCAGCGGAGGCAGTGGAGCTCACCTGCTGGACAGTTCCAGGGCTGTTAATCTAAAGCAGTGGCTCTGAATCTTGCTCACATTCAGAGAACACTTTCCAAGTTGACTGGTCTGCTAAGGGACCTGATCCTATGCGGACAGAGTACATAGGCAAAGAACGCTTTCCTATGGCTGTGTATTGTCAGTGAAAATTGGGAGCTGCCTGAGTTAATTGATGGATAAAAATATATCGGCACAGGAAAAGGAATTAAGCAGATGGAAGTGTAAATCAGTGCCCTGTTTGTAATAATAAATGTTTGTACTCATTGATTCTTTTAAAAGTAGCTTATGTTTGTAAGAACATTTTCAGACTACATCGGGGAACCCTTCCCCCCCCCCCACATTGATTTGGCTGACTCTCTCCTGAAGTACTTGTTTTTGGACCACGTTCAAATACAGCAGCTTAGTCTCTGAATTTAACATTTGGTGCTTTCTGCCAATTTTAAGGAAGTGATTAACCTTGAACTTCCCACAAACAATAAAACCTTTTCAAATACTGGTGGATTTTAAAGTTTATTAAATTGCCATGAGGGGTTCATAGAAGAGAGCTTCTCTCTTTGGAAGATAGGGAGAACTTTATACCAAGTCGTACCAATGGCCCTTCTAGCTCAGTATTGTCAACTCTGACTGGCAGTAGCTCTCCAGGGTTTCAGAGTGCGAGTCTTTCCCACTGAGCTATGGCTCTTCCCTCTTGAGTCTTGAGATGCCCCCTTTCTAGTATTGGACCACATGGTGTGTACAGGTATCATTGTCTTAATTACTACCCATTTCTTATGGCAGTGGTTTGTATTTCATATGTAGTGGAGGGGATGATTGAATAGGGAGAATATATAGGAAGAAAAGAGATGGCAAGAGGCAATAAAGAAGGACTGCATCTTTCATAATGGCAGCATGTACTTGGTTATCAGGTTGTGTGTATTCTGTACTAGAATTTAAAATAAAACTTGCTCATGTAACTCAAATTCTACAGCCTGCACAAATAGATGTAACTGCTCATTCTGCACAATCCATTCCACTTCTAATAGCCATGGAATGAGCAGAAGGCCCTGAATTTCTGGCCAATGGAAATCCCGTTGAACCCCTTCTCTGCAGAGTTGCACTGCGTAGTAAATTTTGCCTTGGCTATTGCAAGGTTTGCGTGAATAGAAGAAAGGTGGCTTGACTCAGTAGTAGTGGTCTGATTAACTGATATTCTTTTCTCCCTCTTTTTGTTTTAGTATCTGAAAACTCCAAAGTGGTGCAGGACAAAAAAGCTGCTCCATCCAGCCGCCCCACCTCTGCCGCTTTAGGACAGAATGCCAGCAGTGCTGGAGCCAAGCCAGGTATCAGTTTGGGAACTTTTCATTGCTTTCACCGGCCTGGAGATGTATTTTTAAAACCCCTTTAACAATGTATTTCACCTCTTCCACAGGTATTTTCAGTCACAGGTGTCACTGAACTTTTAATTACAGACGGCAACCATTTCATGGGGGCGGTCTGTTTCTGGTCCCGCACGCATTAGCAGAGCATGTATAACTGTGCCCCCCCCCAATTCTGCCTCTCGTTCCTCCTCATTTCTGCCCTTTTCCAGATCCAAAAGGACCTGCACGTTAGCGATCATGCATCAATTGGACCTGTATTTTCAGATATAGACAAGAAACATTGAAACAACATAGGCAAACTGATACTGTATTTGTATATTATACTATGCATTTACATAGAGTGAGAAATAGTTCTTGCAAAGTCATGAAACCCAGGGAATTGATGTTCCCTTTAACGGCGTACTGTATGTACAAACTATTCCTTTGCAAAGCTAAACGATACAGCTTAGGGTCAGTCATACCGTGACCAATCTCTTTGTGAGTGTGCTCAGATGCACTTGGGTCTCTGCACTTCCAGTGCTGAGTATTGTAAATGTATTTCATAAGCACCAGGTGAAATGAAATTCTGTACAGTGGTGCCCCGCAAAACGAATGCCTTGTAAGACGAAAAACTCGCTAGACGAAAGGGTTTTCCGTTTTTTGAGTCGTTCCGCAAGACGAATTTCTTGCGAGTTCTTGCGAGTTCTTGCGAGTTTGTTTCCTTTTTCTTAAAGCCACTAAGCCGTTAATAGCTGCTAAGCCGCTAAGCCGTTAATAGCCGCTAATAGCCGCTAAGCCGCTAATAGCCGTGCTTCGCAAGACGAAGAGACTCGCGGAACGGATTAATTTCGTCTTGCGAGGCACCACTGTATATGCTCAGTCTCACACTCCAGTTTTCTTTTGCTTACTTTACAGGATTCAGAGAACAAATACACTGCTAGGCTTTACTGAATATATTGTCCTAGATGCACATTTCCTTTTTTTCTACCCTCTGGCAAGCACAGTGTTAAATGAGTCAGGAAAGAGTTCACTTTAACAACTGTCTGAATGCCTTCTGTTCTTCAGCTCAGATTTGAAAGGCAGTTCATTATAAATTGTGAGAAATAAAGGACTCTCAAATCCTGTGAAATGTTTCATTCCCCTATTGCATATCTTAAATTTTATATATCGAGTGACAGGACGTCAGCTGGTCAGTTGTACCCATAACACAGTTGCTGGCACCTGGGCATTCTGCCAAGTAATTAACCTTTCATTCAGTACCCCTAAAACAAAAGTTATAAAGGCAAGATCTATGGCTTGTGACAACAGAGGAAAATAAGTCTGCTTAGTTAAATAATGCCACCATCTTTGAGGTCTGAGAAGTACTGTGTATGAAGAGTTAGCTTTTCTTCTTGAGATCACGATGGTGTACAACATATGCTTTCACATGTGGTTTGCATGGAACAAAGCATGTGCTTTCTGGTAAATGCTGCAGTGTATACAGACTGTTGATATGTAATTTGAGCAGTTTTTTGGACCAGGGTTTTTAGCACTAAATAAATAAATAAATCCCTGAACATCTAACACCTGAGGTTGGATCTTGAGAAATGGTGGTGGAAGAAGGGGTGTGGAAGGTGACTTTCTGACTCCCTTCACCACCAGTCACCCCAAAGCCTTCAAACAACCTCACATGCAGGTCAGGAAACCCTATTGAATAGGTGGAGCTTCAAGATAGGGGAATAAAGATGGAGAAGATAACCCTGAAAACTGGACAGAAGCCCCTTCCGTCACTGGTGTTTCTCTGGATCCAACCAATGGCCTGTTAAGTTCCCACATAGGTAGAAATTCAGTGTCTCAGTAGTTTCACTTCACACTGAAGGGTGGAGCTCATGTGAACGGTTGCTGGTCTATAAGAGAGAGAGAGAAACCCTATATATATATGTTTTCTATGTGAAAGGATTTTTATATGGGAACATCCAGTCCCACCTGCTTTCTGAAGTGCTGCAACACAGACAGAAGCTGACCACCTCTTTGGGAACCGGGCCCTAAGTGTTATTCTGAGAATTAATTGGATGCCATTCACAGTGGTTCTTTTTTTTCTTTAGACAGAGAGATCCCAAGTTCATAGCAATTAAATATGTGAAAGTGATGATATGTGGAAGGTCTTAAATAATAACATTACAGTTGCTTGTTAATTGCTTTTAGAATGTTGCTTTTTCTAATATGACATCTCAAGTCTTCTACTATTTTACAGACCCTGCGCCAGTACTGAAAGTTGATGAAAGGCAGCGACTTGCTCGAGAACGGAGAGAAGAACGGGAAAAGCTGTTAGGTGAGTCATACTCAATGTACTCTTTCTAGCTGGTGATTCTCGTCAGTTATAACATGCTTGTCATTTGACATCTATATTATACATTTAACAGCATGAGTTACAAGACTATAATTAAATGTGTACTTTTAGCCATTAAAAATAGTTCATGGAATTTAATGACTAGATCTCTGAGGTCTGGTCAACACATGGTCCTAGCACATAAGTTGTACATGTGCTGGAGCATAGACATGTCCTCCTCACATATGATATTGTGTACAGAGAGGGATTTGTGTTCATACAAGAAAGTTCAGCATGTGGTGGAAAAGAACATGCCAACCCAAGTCTTGTTGTCAGGCCTACATCAGATAAAGTGGTATTACTTAGCACGAGAAGTACATATTGTCATTAATCTGAAAAAGACTTTTGTGTGTCTTGGTTCTACTCAAATAATAAGTGCAAACTGGCAGGAGCTACTGCAGGTTCTAGAATGCTATTGTCAGCCTCCATCCATGACATTTCAAAATAACCAATGTCTTTGCCTGCAATAGGAAATACATTGGAGAGCCATGTGAGCCTTCCACCTGTAGAGGGCACAGCAGAAAAGGCTGTCTTGCCCCGTTGCTGCCCACCTCTCCTCAGGTCATGGGAAGGACCTCTAAAGACTATCTCAGTGTACGGACTGGTTGCCGTACATTTTCTTATTGTTCACATTTGAAAAGGAAGCTTTGCACCTCCTGCCAGGGTATTTCTTCTCTGAAGTTCTAAGGTTGAACTCACAGTGTCCCACAAAAACATAAATGCTTCTTCCTTTATGGAAGAGGCAGAGGTCTACTAAAGGCTCCTGCTGGAGGAAAGGAGGGAAGATGGTTTTCACCAATTTTACTCCCTTCAAACCCCCAATTCTATTTCCCATACTTTTCCAGAAGGTTTTTCTCTCCCTCCTACTTCTGGTGAGAGTGTCCTGTGAAAAGAGTTCTACTTACAGGAGCTCTGGATCAAAGTCATCTTGTTTTGTTTTGGGGTGGGTTTTATTTTTGACATGGTTTCATAGCAAACTAAAATATGATGTATGCAGAACCTTCTTATTGCAATGGTATTATAAAGATAGTCAACATGGTAAGCTCTAAATGTTTATAACTACAGTTCCCATTATTACTAAAAATTGAGCAAACTGGTTGGGACTGTAATCCAACAACATCTGAAATGCAGCACTGGCTGCCCTTGTTCCATAAGAAGGATCCTGTTGGATCAGGGTGAAAGATCCCTCTAGTTCAGTGCTCTGATTCCCACAGTAGACAATCAGAGGCCTCGGGCAAGCAAAGCCTACAAGCGGCACATGAAGGTAATAGCCCTTCTTCCTGTAACAGCTCTTTGACGACGGGTGTCTGGTGGCATCTCACCTCTGAACCTGGAATTTCCATGTACAGTGGTACCTTGGGTTACATACGCTTCAGGTTACAGACTCCGCTAACCCAGAAATATTACCTCAGGTTAAGAACTTTGCTTCAGGACGAGAACAGAAATCGTGCAGCAGCGGGAGGCCCCATTAGCTAAAGTGGTGCTTCAGGTTAAGAACAGTTTCAGGTTAAGAACGGACCTCCAGAACTAATTAAGTTCTTAACCCAAGGTACCACTGTAGCCGTTATGGCTAGTAGACTTATCCTCTGCGATCTTTCCTACTCCCTTTATAAAGCCATCTAAGCTAGTAGGCATCACCATATATTGTGGTAGCAAATTTCATACATTAATGGTGCACATAGTGAAGACATACTTCCTTTGTTTGTCTTATATCACCTGCCATTGGATGACCTCAAGTTCTGGTTTTATGAGAGGAGGAAAAAAAGATTTCCGCCTGTTTTCTCTATCTTGAAGTCTGTTCCCTTATGTTGAAGCTCCCCATATAGAAGAGAGAGTAAATTGAGATCTACTAATCAGCTAAGTTAGTTTCCACTAATTAATTTTTGAGAATTGTTGTTTTGTGAGTGTGCTACAAATCCTGGAGATTCCCAGTCATTTCACAGATCGACCATTTCTGAGGTTCTTTGGCTAGGAACCATGAGGGTTAAGCAGGTTTGAACATATTTTAACTTTTTCTTCTGGCTATACCCAGAGGCATCTGAACTGCCAACCATTCAGAGGAGGAGGAAAGGTTGTTTTTCTTCTTATGTGAATGCAAAGCACAGTGGCTGCCACTCTGAATTTTGTGAAAAATGTCTTCCTCAGTATGATGTCTGTCAACTTGCCATATTTTTAAATGGATCATAATGGCACATTACGGTTGCCTGCAGCTGACCCTGCTGGTGGTGTTTCTTTTGCATTTCAGAAAGAAGAGTAGAAGGCAAAGATACAGTTATTTCACACTCTAATCAGACCCTGCACACTATTATATTTAGACCATAAAGCATAATTGCATTGGTTTGAGAGTACAGATAAATAAGCAGTATAAAATTAACAGCAGATAAACAAATTATCTATCTATTTACCTGTCAAATCTGTAAATCATATGCTCTCTCATGCATTTGGACATACATTTCTGCAAAACAGCTGTGTTCTTCATGTTTCTTCTCTTCCGTTTATGTTTGCTTATTCCTTGATAATTTTATTCCATGTACTATAGAACAGGAAGTTGTCTGGCACTAATCCAGGCTGTTCATCAGTCAGTCTGGTTCTCTTTGATTGATTTGATCATATTGCCCAAACTCTCAGGATTCAATTGAACAGCATGGCTCAAACTTGAAGGGACAGTGCAAGGCACCAGAGAAAGCAAAATAGGGACTTGAAGCAAAAGTTCCATTTCCATCTTGGGGTGGCGGGGATACTATGTGAAGTGTCCCTCATATTTTACACCCAGTAAGTCTAGTCACATGCCTTGGACACCTTCAGACTTGAATCCTGCAGTGTGGTCTGTGTGTGGCTGCCCTGGAAGAGTTTTTCGAAACTGCAGCTGGTGCAGAATGCTTTCTGGTGTCTATTTCTTGGACCATGTTACACTGGCCTTATACCAGTTGTGCTGGCTTCAGATTCATTTCAGGGCCCTATTCAAGGTGCTGGTTATTACTTAGAAAACTCTTAAATGGCATGGGGCCAGGATAGCTGAAAGACTCCCTCCTTCCATATGAATCTAGCTGTGGTTTACTATTTTTTTCCCCTGAGGGTCCTGATTTATGCTGAGAAGGTGCTTGTAGCATCTAGCTTATCAGTTAAGTAGCTTTCCAAAGCCCAGGGCTCTCCTGTTGTTTTGAACTTCAACTCTCTTAAATCCCACCATGCACAGGAAATGAACAGGGATTATGGGAATTGTAGGCGAACAACACCTGGAGGATGTTAGGTTGGGGAAGCCTGGGTTAATGCTTTATTTTAATTTTATTTTTGGTTTAATACTTTATGGTTGTTAAGCTGACAAGTCATGTTCAAAGGTGCTTTCCTTTTTCCTGATAGAAAACGTAGCAAACTTCCTGCTCCCTTTGTGTAAACTGTTCTTAGAATAATACACACACACACACACTATTAGCAGACACCTTACACAAAAACAGTCCCAAAGCACAACAAATACACAACATCTTGATACTGAAATGACAGCACCAGCATAAAACCAGCATTTTTTTAAAAAAACAAACAGCTGCATAGTAGTATTTATTTAGATAACTCACCCAACTTATACTCACCCTGCTTCCCTGAAAGGAGTTGAAACAGCAGATAATTGCTTTACGCAGTCTGGCATTCTAAAAATATTCAGTCTGCCTCAGCAAGCTGCAGGAGTTGTGGGATTTTGTAACACTTCATTTAGAGCGTAAGTGCTGATGCCTTGTTCTGTCTATATAAATTTTGATGTAGATCAGTTTTTCACTCCAGTTGCAAATAGGCAGAAACTTATTCCCTTCCCTCCTCCTGAAATGAGCCTCATCACTAACTAATAGAAAGAACATTTCCTAGACAGGGTAGCCGAACCCTTGGGGTCCTGTGGGCACATTTGTAAAGCAGGTGTTGTGGATATCACACACATACACACTGCAACCTATTCTGTTGGCTACAATAGAATGCCAGTCTTAATTTCAGAAGGGAGGGGGAACCTGTGGACACCAGGGAAGGCCTCTGCGGGCACATGTGTGCCCTTGGGCACAACGTTGGTGACTGGTGTACCCTATTCAGTTTCTTCTTCCACTTTCTAAAACTATTTTATTGGTCATCCAGGAGAAATGGTTATACAATAGAGTGAAACCTTAAAGTCTCTCTTTGCTAGAGCTGCATTGTTCAGTAGATCATAGAATCATAGAATCATAGAATCGTAGAGTTGGAAGAGACCACAAGGGCCATCGAGTCCAACCCCCTGTCAAGCAGGAAACACCATGTATGACTCGGTTTGCAGCAGTTTGTTATGGAACGATTTTCCAAAATACAGCATCTCTTTTGGAAGCTGCAGTGGACAGAGTATGACTTACACAATTAAGCAGCAAGGAGACTGGCTCTTCCGTCAGCAGGGCCAAAACAGAACCATGGAGCTGGAGGTGGCATTGTAGGCCATCAAGCTTGATGCAGAAAATGCAGAGCTAGAGCATCCCCAGGAGATGGCCATCTAGCTTCTGCTGATATTGCTACTTACTTAGGAGGAGAGGAGTGAGGCAGTGGCAGGGTGAATGCAGTGCAAAGGCAGCAGCAAAGCCAATTTGGTTCTCCTGTTAGTGTATTTGCACCATACCAATCTCCCTACAGCCTCACCCTTTATCTCCCAGTAAGCAATGGCAGTGCAAACAGCCAGGGTCAGGTGAGAAGCAGCTCCGCACCATGCTGCCCACTACCATCCAGATGTTCAACTGGGGCAGCAAGGAACACTTTTTTGCAGATGCAAAGAGATATTAGGTTTCTCCTTTTCAGCTGTAAGACGGACTCATGTGAGTCCCAAGTGTTTGGAAATACAAGATTGGCAAAAAAGTGTGTGCAAACACTTTCCAGCCTGATACACTAATATTTTGCCGGCTTCTTTTTTCTGTGGAGAAATTGCTTAAGATAGGACAATGGAGCCTTCTAAATTAATTTTAAATAATTGCATTTATTGACATTTTTAAATTCATTGACTGTTTAGAGGCAGTGTATGAAGGATGATTCTAGGGTTATGATGATTAAATTGTAATGATAAACTTTAATAATAATAAAAACTACAGGGTTTATTAAAAGGCAATAAAAGATCAACAGCATTTTTTGTAACTTTCTCTGTTATGGCAATTGAATATTATGCCCATGAGAGTTATTGTCTATAAAATTATTTCCGCTTGATTAAAGACTATACAGTATAATGAACACAAGACTATATAATGAAAGTTAATACTGTTGATCATATTAGGGTGTTTTTTTGTGTGCAAGCTGTCTTCTAGATAACTCTTTTTTCTGTCACATGCTGAAGTTGCCAAGTCCATTGCGGACCTTTTTGAGGAAGAAAAGAATGTTGCCGCTGAGATGTTGGAGGCAGCCTTGGCTTCACATCCTCTCTCTCTTCAGGACAATTTAGAGTCAGCAACTCTTATGTCTTGCAGATGGATGAGAAAGACTGTGTTTAGAGGGGGGAAATAGTTAACTATTAAGGAAAACAGTTGATGCTTTATGTATCCCCAGCGGCTATGTCTAGATTTAGGCTATGTCTGCATTGCAGTTTTATTGCCGCTTCACTTTTATCAGCTTTGTTTTGAATTCCACAAAACGTATTTCTGTTTGCTTGAATATTCTTCCCAGTTTATCTCTGCATCAAGAAGCCATCCTGTCTGTGTCTGTACATCTACAGACAATTCAAGATTCTTCGTTTCTTTTTTGCACTTAATTCCCCTCCCCCTAAATTCTCATCAATGATGGGGGGGGGTGGTTTGGCAGTGGGCCATGCTTACTTTTCAATAAGGCCTTTGTAATTTTTATATTGTTTCTCACTGTAGAGGTATCAGGGTAATAGAGCAATGATACAGGGCAAACCATAAACAGAGGAGGCACAGAGTTCTTTTTATCTCCTGTTTCCCTTTTGCACAATTTCCATCCACATGCATTTCAGAGCTAGCTTAGAGCAGGCCTTGCAGAATCGCACTGGGCTTCTTGCCCTCACTATGCAGGCCATCTGCATGTTGCATATGTTGTAAGACAAGCCAAATGTAGACAAGTGCTGAATGACAGATGAGATTTGGAGAGGGGGTAGCATTATTAACTTATGGCTCAGTCAATATTTATTCCCTGAAGCAATATTGACTTACCACCCATGAGTTTCTATCACTTGAAACTTTTTTCATTTCAAAGAGCAGCATTTCTAACTTATTGTTAATAATTATAACAGCTTTGTATTAAGGATTTTTCATAGGACATCATGTATATACATTTACATACAGTCATTTCTTTAAAGACCAACAGCAGTAAGATACTTCTGTTAAGCTTTATTTTCTGGTATAACTAGATCCGGAAGAATATATATCAAACCCTTGAAAAATAGCATCCTTTTGATTTAGTTATTAAAGGTGGCATCCTTCATCAGGATGCCTGCAGTAAAGGGCAAGATGGCATCGCCTTCCCACTCAGTGTACAGAAGCTGACTGGACTGCCAGTTGAATCTTACTTCAACCCTGGCAGCATTATCCAGCTCGGGAAATATGGATGTCTTTATTTAAGTTGATGTGTTATTTTATTTTGTTTTGTTTTGTTTGCTTGCTTGCTTTGTATATGGTGTGGTATAACACCCTACTGCTGCACCTTTGGGTTGTTAGTAACGGTTGTTATGCTACAATAACTAACTAACAAACAGACACTGGTGACAATATAGCATTCTCCATCTTGTGTGAGGCAGCAGGCTTGTTGAAGGACTCCTGGCTGTGCCATGTAGCATGCACTCCTCTTTCTCCCATCAGAGGGCTGCAGCTACTGCCTTTCCAGCAATTGCCCCTCTTTTTCCTAATGGTAGCATGCCGTCCAACATCCCAGTGATGAAAATGAAGATGGCAGTTCCATCCGCATGCCCTGTATACGTGTGTGTGTGTGTGTGTGCGCACAGCCTCGGTCATGGCAGCCAAGTGGAAACTCCACCTTTAGGGGCAGTCTACCCACCACTCCTCTCCACCAGCACCAGGCACTGAGCACAAAGATTCTGAATCCCCACCTATCTTCCCTGCCTGGTACTTGAACTCCATGGAGCCGTTGCCTGGCATGCCCTGCTAGAAGCACTCCTTCTGGCTGGCAGCAGGAAGGTGAACATCCTGCAGGGCTGGCAGTGGTGGGTAGGCCTTGATGAGGACCCTCTGGGTGCCCCCAAGAGCAGCAGCAGTAGCCTGCTAAGACGGGACTGTGCACATTTCTCTCTTATTTAAAATGTGCCAGCTGACTTGCGTGGCACCCAAGAATGAGCGTCTTTGGGTTCCTTACTCTTGCAGGAGACCAAAAGACAGGACAATCCGGGATCCAATCAGAAGCCAGGATGGCTTTTGTAATTCCGGGATGTCCTGGTCAAAACAGGACAATTGCCGAGGGCTGGCCCTGTACAGTACAGAGCTGAATAATAATATCCAGCTTCACTTCCCCCTGCTCCTGTCAGGTTAAGCTGTGTATTCAAGTGTAGTACAGTAGTAATGCTAATGTTTCTGTAACTGGAGGAACAAGCGATTCCTGTTTTGCTGTCTGGATTATAAATTATTTGCATTTTGAAATGAACCATAGCCCGAAAGTATTTGCTTAGATAATCAAGACGTAAGCTAATTTATATAATATATCATTGCTTGCAAGCTAGAATCTTACCTAATGCCATTGTGTTCTGCTTCAGTTCATTCATAAGAAGAGATTTTTAAATAGCTCCATTTCTCCAACTACCCAGCCGAGATTTGCAGAGGAAGATTCTTTGAGATTTCAAAGTGTAAATTAATTTCTTGGCATTCACAGTAGAATCCATAACTTGCCATCAATCTATAAGACAAAACTTATTACCTTGTTGGCAAGCCAGTGAGGGGTGGTGGAAGTTTAGATAAAAATTGTATCAATTGCTTTTTTATTTTTAGCAACTAGAGTTTCAGGTCACCTTCTGAAAATGTCCCTTAATCAGAGCCAGTCTATCCTGTACTCTGTTATCTGTTCTCAGGAACTGCAGCAGGACTAGTTATATATTGATCTAGACTGCATTTTATTTTATTTGTTTTGTGTTTCCTGTGCATTTTAATTTTGTTGTGAGCTGCCTGGAAATGGCAGGATATAAACTGTTGAATAAATTAAGAATATAGCATATATAATGGGTGTTATTCAAGTCCATGTTTGCACTAGTGCAAGAATCAGCACTAGCACAAGGGGGTTTCCCCCTCCTGCTCCCCCTCACTGTCCCCAAATATGCTCTGGAGGATACGGAGAAAATTCAGATTTAGGGGAATGTAAGGGGAGGTGAAAGAAAGAGATGGTTTCATTGTACGAGGAGAAATTCTTGCTCCGATGAAACAACCTGCTTAGCACTTCGTTGAATACAACCTATTATTATAATGCACTATCATTCCTTTAGGGATAAACAAAAACTTACTCTAAAAAGTTGATAGTTGTGTTGTTTTTTCCTTATTAGTGTGAAATGCTATACAAATTTAAGAAATTTTGCCTAAGCCTCTTTATAAAAAAAATAATGTTACAGATCTTCCACCTTGTAAGTACGCTTAGAATCACATCCTTAATGCTCCTAAACATTTTAGGTTCAGAGTATCTCAGAAAATGCACCCTAATTTCCAGATCCCTTCTAGGGATGTTATGAAATTACATTCATGAAGACTTCCCATCAGATACTGTCTGTGTGTGTGTGTGTGTGTGTGTGTGTGTGAGAGAGAGAGAGAGAGAGAGAGAGAGAGAATGAATGATACCTGAGAGCAAAACATTTTTTTTTAATGTCCTAAAGTTACAAAATTAAAATTAAAAATTAAAAGCCTAATACTAATGGAGGCAATGTTGGCAATTCTCAATCTCTTGAAAGTATGTATGAAATAAATAATAATGGTTCCCTTGTCCTTTTTGCAAAAATAACTCTTCTTAGATTATAGTTATTAAATGCTAAAGGAAAGTATGTTTCAAAACATCGTTGATAATGTGATAATTCAGCATCTTTTAAAACAACGCCAATGGTAGAATTCCGCAAATTCCCAAGGTAATTCCCCTCTCCCATCCATTACAGTATTATGCAGAAGGGCTGTTAGTACATGTAGATAACACAGAGCTAGATGGACCAGTGGTCTGATTCAGTATAATCATGCTCCACTCTATAAGGTTTTCATAGTGTCCACTTACTGTTAATTTTTAGTACTTGGATATAGAATCCAACTTCATAGCTATTTATATCAAAGCAAAACATCACCAATCATTGAATTTCTAGTCATGGGTAAAATAATGTACAGTGGTACCTTGGGTTACAGACGCTTCAGGTAACAGACTCCGCTAACACAGAAATAGTACCTCGGGTTAAGAACTTTGCTCCAGGACGAGAACAGAAATCGCACGACGGCAGTGGGAGGCCCCATTAGCTAAAGTGGTACCTCAGGTTAAGAACAGTTTCAGGTTAAGAACGGACCTCCAGAACGAATTAAGTTCTTAACCCGAGGTACCACTGTAATAACCGACCTTATTGCAACTAAAATGGGAAATGACCTTAATACTAGAGTGCTGTCAAGGTGTTCAAACTGGGAATATTGCCAGGCAAACAGCATTGTAAGTGAAATTTCCTTTGTTGCTGTTTAGCGGCAAGAGAAGCTGCCTGGGTAGAAAAAGAAGAAAGAGCAAGGCAATATTATGAGAAACACCTAGAGGAGCGCAAAAAGAAATTAGAAGAGCAGAGACTAAAAGAAGAGAGAAGGCGAGCTGCAGTGGAGGAAAAACGCCGACAGCGGATAGAAGAGGACAAGGTAAACGGAAGTTGAATTTCTTATGGGAAGTTGAATTTCCACCTTCAGCAGTGAAAACACATTTACTTTTTTGCCACTAGCATCAGTGTGGGCTCCTTCCTGCATTCTTCCCATTGTGTATACAGTTTTAGATGTATTTAGATTTTTGTTTGTTTGTTTTATTGCTGGTGTGTTTGAGGCCCTGGGCTCCTTTGGATGGAAGGTCAGGATATGAATTTAAGAAGTAAATGACTTGCAGGTAGGCAGGAAAAGTCTGTGAGCCTCAATGAGCAGCAATGACCACCCATACAGCAGGATGGGTGTACTTGGTGGTTCATGCATGTCTCCATTCGGAGTGGCTCTTTGGGCATGCCTGAAGATGAACGCATTGTACCCTTGTTGATTGCATTGTTGCTGTCAAAATATGGCTGTATCTGTTCAGACACTTAGCTGTGTGTTATCTCATTAGGAGCGCCATGAAGCGGTCGTGCGGCGCACAATTGAGAGGAGCCAGAAACCGAAACAGAAGCAAAATAGGTGGTCCTGGGGAGGTGCACTTCATAACAGCAGCAGCATTAACAATACAGGTAAAACAGGAGACCAGGTGTCTCAGCCTGGCTCCCTGTCTTTGTGCTAATATGGGTTTATGGACTGTGATTGAGGAAGCTTGTCCACTCTTCTTGCCTTTTATGCCTAAGCGCTCACAAATGAGAAATTGAACTAATGCTTTAAGAACTGACTGCTCTTTTTCGCTCCATCTGTATTTGCACTTAATTTGCTTTGTTCGTCTCTTTCTCTCTCTCTCTTTCTGCCTGTCTCTTCTCTGACCTTGTGTCTGTGTGCCAGCAGTCTTTCGGTCTAAGCCAAACTTTTGGAAACTCATGTACTTGCCGAACTTTATTAATATGAGTATTTTAGGGAAACAATGTGAATTCTTATATAAAAAGTGGAAGCGGAGGTTTATTTTGTTGTTGTTTTAAAAGCCAGTGTTTGGGGTGGGTGGGTGGCGGGTCCACTCATCAGCATAACTAATATTCATTAATATTGAAAAGATTTTTTAAGTAGTTTTCTCCTTTCCTCTGAAAAAATTCAGTTTGACAAAATATCAGGTACAAAATAAATCATGCAGTATTTTCCCCAAGCGCATTCTGTGTATGCAGGTGTCATGTGATGGCTTTAATTCTAAAGAGATGCCCAGTACGCTTTAACATTAGGAATTTGCATATATATCGAATACCTTCTTCTACACAAGCTCAATAATGGGTGTTACTGCCTTTATCATGAAACAAATATGTGTATCATTGCGCTTACCAAGAGCAAGTACTTCATATTACTACTAATTTCATTGTGTTGCAAAATCAATAAACAGTTGCTTTTCCATAACAATGTTCTACTTACTCTCTTTGCTTCTCTCTTTATAACTTGTTTGCTGCCTTTTAAATTTTTCTTTACTTTTGAAAATCATTGTCTTGCATTCTGTCCCTAGGTTATTTTGTTGAATCATCATTCACCTTTCTCGATTTAGCAGGCTTGGAGTACCACTTCAGACCTCTGGGTGGTGCTAGAAAACCCGGTACATAAATCCCTGTGATTTTGTTGGTTTTATTTTTATCACCAGTAGTTTATCTCCTCAGAATAGGACCAGTACACCAGTAACTAAACCATCTTTCGTTAGAGACAGTGCATGCCTAACACTTGCCGCATAGACTAGAGCTGATAGATAGCCCCTGCCGCCTTCACATTTACCAAGCTATTATTGGGTGACTTAAAGAATGTGGCACAGCTTCTCAAAATACAGCATACAGTTTTGAAAGGATTCTGTTTATATACAGTATTTGGACTCTTCTCTTCCCCCCCCCCCACTTTCAGAAGAAACAACATTTTCAAAATTCCTTTTGGGGGAATATAGTTGTTCAGTTCTTTTTTTATCCTCCTTTCTCCCCACTTCCCACCTCTCATTTACAACTGAAATCCCTTTAAACTGCGCACTTACCTTTCCGTGCTCTTGAAGTAACTGTTAAGTTCTCAGCATAGCACAGCTGCTGACTTTGCAGCACTGGAAGAGAAGGGTGGTGCAGCGTGATAGTGCATTCTCAAACCAAGCCAGCATTTAAGGAAAGTAAAATAAACCCCATTACAAAGTATGTGTGCTACAGATTGCCCTTCAGATTGTCATTCAATCCTCCCTCCCCTCTCTCCAGACATGCAGTTTCTGTCTATCCAAACAAACATGGCAGATGGCATTCTGGTCATGTCTGCTTCAGTGCTCTCTCCTAGCACTTCTTAATTTTTCCTTTCTAACCTCTCTCACCACTCACAACAGCTTTTCGCAAAACCCCCCTCCCAGCCCCCATGCTTTCTCCTCACACTACTAGTTGCTTATTTTCTGTTATAGAAAAAAGAATGTCATACTAAAATTGCAGATTTTTCTGGCCTATCCTGTTTTTTTTTTTAAAAAAAGGCTGGTGGTGGAGGAGAAATTTCACTCTAGGATTGCAAAATGGCTAGGATTGTATATCATGCTAGTGGAAATGGTGGAGAGGATAAGAAAAAGTGGATATGGACAATGAAAAAAGTCCTAATAAAAAGTGGTATATAGGTGTTGGTATAATGGCTGGAATGATTAGGATAGTATGACATTTGTCCAAATGGCCATTCAATAATGGATGCTTTTGGTAAGGCATCTATTGTATGTGACACCAACTTTGGTGGAAGAACCCTCAAAATTACGTATTTGTTTATATCCCACCTTTTCAGACAATGATAAAAGAAAACAATCGCATTAACGTTTGAAACACACATATAAAACGAACAAACAACAAATATGGGCAGATATTCCTATTTGCTTCATGGCACAGGGTTAGATTTGTGCAAGCCTCTGCCCAAATAAGTTCTCAAATATATATTTTTTAAATTTTTATATATGTTAACTGGATTGATATTTGGCATGATATAGCATTATATAAATAGTTTTTATAAATAAAAAAGTCCATTAAATCAGCTTTATATCCTCTATAATTTATTTACAGGAATTCTTAGAACTTTGAGTCTGCCTAACTTTTCGCCCCCTTCTTTGGTCTCCTTTCTTGGCATGGTGTGCTGGCTGTATTCACTCCTGTCTCATCTTAATAATACAGGTGCTCATGATTCTGAAGCATCCTGGTCAAAAGACTTACTTTCTTCTGGTTTGCATGACACATAAGCGAATATGTGGCTTCCCAAGCCTGAAAATTCAGGCTCCTGGAAAGAAGCTTGCAGCCCCTTTGCCCCTGCTATGTCTTCTTTTTGCTCCTACTACATGCTGGGCTACACCAAGCTTACACTTAGTCTATTGTCTGAATCGGGGCCTGTGGTTAAAACCTTCTCCTCCTTAACCATGAGCTGTAGCCAAGGTTTGTTCATGCAAACCAGAACTTAGTAGCCAAATGCTCTTTTTAAACAGATTTGTTTTTCTAAAGCCCAAATACGGGTAGGCATGTTCAGTGCTTCTCTATCATTTCCCCATATTTCCTCCAGGCTTACTGCATCACCTTTTTTGTAAGCACAATGAGATGGACACGGAAATCTCATTGTGTTTATTTATTGCCATTTCATTCAGATTTGTCTCGTTAAAATGATGTTTGTTTGGCTGAATGAATAGTGGTGGCAACCTGACATTATATCATTTTGTGCCCAGTCTTTGAGTCACCTACAAAGTCCCCTGAAAGTCCTTCCTGTTTGTTAAAGGTGCCATTTGATAGGAAGAAAACCTATTACTCTGGTATACTTTTCCCTCTAGAGGACTAGGAAGTTGCATTTCTGCATGCGGGCTGTCAATTAGCATTATTTCCATTTGTTTTAGATCCAGACAGGCGATCTGTTTCAACAATGAACCTTTCGAAACATGTTGATCCAGTCATTAACAAGCGACTCTCCTCCTCATCTGCAACATTACTAAATTCTCCAGACAGAGGTACAGTTTTTTTAAAAGGAACAACTGAAAGGAAAGAGCTAAAATGTTCTGTAAAACTTCAGCAACTATTAAAGGCACTTTATTTACATTGCAAAGAGGAAAGAAAAAAGCTTCCAACACAAGACCATATTTTGGAAAGAAAAAAAACACCACATATCTGAAATATTGAAACTTGCCTGAATCGGTACACTTAGCAAGTGCTAAAAGCAGTGCTTCTGTCAGGTTTTTTAGTAAATGAATTGAAAACTAAAGAACCAACTCATCTATCTCTCCATACTGCATGGAATCCATTTTAATTTTTTGAACATCACCACTAGACCATACTCATTTGGTCATTTTATATTTTTTTAACCACTTAAAAACAAGTTATTGAATTTCTCCAGGGCATTCAGATAACTGGCTTAAGTTGGGTAAGAAACTGGATATTCAGTGACTCTGTGATCTTACACAGTGACTTGATTTGAAAGATAAGCTTTATTCCAAATCATATTTCAGTCTTTCGGCCGGAGGTGGGGGAGTTCAGCTAAATGAGATGCTTCTTTCATTTTAATGTTTTATTGGACATAGAACAAAAAATGGGCCTGTCTCATATGTTCGTTGCTTAGAAACCGATAGATGAAATATACTATCTCAGTGTTAACCAAAAATATCCAGAGTGTTGTAATCTGGTTTGTTGCAGATACTCATTTTTAAAATGTAGGTTGATGTTTATTTATATTTTTTTTAAAAAAAGTTATCAATTATTACAAGACAGTATTGTGAAACTGGTTGGAAGGTCTCATATGTTTGGTAAACCCAGGCTGCAATCCTATACACCCTTACCTGGGAGTAAGTACCATTAAATTCAATGGCACTTGCTTTGGGTAAACATGTGTAGGATTGTTCTGATTATGTCTTTGCAATCTGTGGGGTTTGCTTTCAGTATTTGTGTGTGCTTTTCCGCATGTATGGCAATATATGTGTCCCCATGCTGTGTTGTATGCCAGGCTGACAGTTCATATGCTGTAGCTTTGAAACATTGCCAAAGAGTGACTGATCTGGCTGTAGCAACCTTTTAGGTAGCAAAGTACAATTTCTCAAGAAATTGTTCTTACACAAGAAAAATAGTTTGTTTCTTTTCTATATTAATGCACAGAAACTTTCAAAGATTCCCTCCCCCCCAAAAGTTAAACAAACTTTTTTTTAAGAGAAGGGTTAAGATTTATGATAAAATGTATTGGAAGTATAGCCAGAAAAGAGATACACACTTCCTATTTATTGCAAAGTGCTGTTTGTAGATAAGTGTGCCCGTTTTCAAATCACGAATTGAGCTTTGAAAGGAGTGGTTGTAATCGCATGTGTTTTGCTCCTGAAAAGCGCTCTCCTTAAACTTACTTTCCCAGTTCCCCAGTACATCCATTCCATGACAATTTAGACTTCTGTATGTTCAGGCAGAAGTGTTCATGTAACATTTAAATGAATGTGGAAACCTAGTTTTGCTGTGAAAATGCAGTGATTTTCAAAGTTGACTCTTGTCCTACCAAACATGGTCCTTTAGATTCCCAGCTTCAGTTGTCGGAACATGAAAGGGTTCTGAAGAGCTACCTGGGTGTCATTAAGAGTTTTACCAGCTAGATTTCTTCATATTATCAGAGATTATAGCTCTCATAGCCCTGGTGGCATTGCCTTTGAGAATGCTTTGACAGGAACTATACCAGTGGTGGGTGGAGCCAGAAGCAAAAGTGGGTGGAGTCTCAGATGTATTCCCCCCCTCTAGTACAGCTAGTTTGTCTCAAATACCTCTCTCTATCTTGGATCTATTATCATAGTTCAAGGACACATTCCATCCTGGCAAAAACAATCAGGATGCTAAGCAGAGCTAGAAAGGGTTGTGGAGGATTCCATGGGCCAGGTAGAGAAGTCTAGAGCAGGCATAGGCAAACTCGGCCCTCCATATGTTTTTTGGGACTACAATTCCCATCATCCCTGATCACTCGTCCTGTTAGCTAGGGATCATGGGAGTTGTAGTCCCAAAACAACTGGAGGGCCGAGTTTGCCTATGCCTGGTCTAGAGAGCTGTATTTGGCCACAACGCCTGAGGTTCCCCATCTCTGATCCTAGAGCAGTGAGCTGGGCCACTGTGAGAGCTAACTCTCCACCCCCCTCCCATTGCTGCATCCTTGTGCACTACTTGACAAGCCGCCTTTGAATCTGAGTCTCAAAAGCAGTTTTCCTTCTGACATGACATGATGTGACACTGGTATTAAGTGGAGGAAAACTATGTATGGAAAAGCTCTTCTGTAGTCCTAAATTGCATTTTTGGATCATGGCTTTAAATATGAATTGGAGCCAAGTGTCATGTTTGCCTTTTAAACACGAGCGTCTTTTGAGATACCCGAAGAATTAAATGCAATTTTAAGGACTATCAATTATGTATTCCCCCTAAAGGGTCAGATTGTCATCTATCTTCTCCCCCTCCATTACACAAATCTATGGCTGGCAGAGCTATGCAGGAGAATTCCAATTTTTTCCTATTTGCCACTCCATCTGCTGCATCTGTTACTAAGTTGGTAGAGCATGAGACTCTTCATCTCAAGGTCGTAGGTTTGAGCCCCACGTTGGGCAAAAGATTCCTGCATTACAAGGGGGTTAGACTGGATGACCCTTCTGGCCCCTTCCAGCTCTACAATTCTAATACAAGAAGAGCCTGGCTAGACCAGGCTGACACTAGTCCAGTATCCTGCTGCTCACAGTGGCATACTAGATGGCTGTTGGTAACCCACAAGCAGTGCATGGGTACAACAGGAGCAAGCTTGCTTATGAGCTTCAGCAGCTGATGTTCAGAGGCATACTCCCCCCAATACTGGAGGAGGTACATAACCATTGTAACTAGTAGCCATGGATACTTTCATCCATGAATTTGTCCAACGCCTTTTTTAAACCATGCAAGTCGGTGACCGTCATGTCTTCCAGCAGTGCCTTCCATATTTAAGTATGTGCTCTGTGGAAAAGTAATTGCTTTTGTCTGTCCTGAATCCTCGCATCATTCAGCTTCACTGGCTGATCCTTCATTCTGGTATTATGTGAGGGGAAGAAAAAGTCTATCGAGCCACATTTTCTGTGTGTGTGTTTGTGTGTGTATCTACTGTATTTTATGTGTGCTCCGCTGTATTTTTATGTGTGCACCCTTTGTCCTCTGCTCTTGTGGCTGTGCAGCATCTATGGTGTAGAACGAAAACCTGATTCCTGTGGCCCACCAGATGTTGTCGTACGTCAGTGCTCAGGGATGATGGGAGTTGTGGTCAAGGAACACCTGGAGAGCCAGCAGTTCCCCACCCTTGCTCCCCAAAATGGCGTTGCCTCACAAATTAGACTCCAGATGGCCCTTAGCTAGGTCAGTTTCAGGAGCTAAGCTGTGATGTGCAAAAGCATGGCTATGAAGCTGGGACATTTTATTTTTCTCTACAGATCCTGCACCCAACAACGACCCCCTAGCTCAAAATATGAGGCGAACTTGCAGTCCTATCCTATGGATGTTTACTCAGAAGTAAATTCCCTATGCATAATAAATAGTACTAGTTTTTGGATCACGCACACACACCCCCGCTCCACTTACTTAGCTCCATGATGATTTCACAACAGGATTAGTAGAAAAAACATATTGTACAGAAAATGAAAAATAGCTCTCTGAACCAACTGCAGGACTGTAGCCAAACTGGCTTTGTTTTTAGATTGCGTGGGTGGACTCAGCACATCGGCTCTCCACAAACCCCACACATAGTGTAATCTGTGCCTGTCCAGGAGGTAAGATCATATTGAGATCAACATAAATTGTACTGTCTGCAAAGCCCAAAGTTCTTTGAAAGCACAGGTTCTGCAACCTGATATAAGTCATATCGAAGAGGCCATTTGAGCTTTTGTCCAGCAACACCAAATAGGAACTACTGAAAGTGGAAAATTTGCCCTTGCCATTTAGCTGGTTGGTGACAACTTTCCAAGTAAATAGTTGTCTATACCCACCATCCATTTGGAGCACCCTAAGTAGTTTTCCACTAATGGATGCATTAAGGTAACACCACACAGAAGGACTATCCTTCAGTGACAGACCACATGCTTAGCATGCAGAGGGTCCCTGGGGCAATACCGTATTTTTCTCTCTATTACACGCAGATTTTTTCTCCTAAAAAGGAAGGGGAAATGTCTGTGCGTGTTATGGAGCGAATGTGGGGGGGGGGTCCCTGGAGCCGATTAGGGGAGCGCAGGAACAAAAATCAGCAAAAATCAACCGTGCGTTGTGTCGGAGAGGGAAACCTGAAAAGAGGAAGTGGTTGCTTTCCTGCATTCTGCCTCAGGGTCTTACTGCCCACCCTCCTCTGTTTCGTTGCTGTGTTTGCTCAAACGGAACAAAGAGCAGGCAAATCCCCTCCCCTCCAGGCAAGCAGAGGGGAAAGCAGAGGTCTTTCCTTCTAATTCCTCTCCGTGCTCCTCGCAGGCAGCCAGAAAACATGCAGGAGGAGAGAGAAAGCTGGCTTCGGTTTGTGGAAACTTTTGCCTTTCTTTCCTCCCTCCCTTAAAATCTCTCTCCTGCTTTCTTAGCCAGCTGCTTCTCTGCACACCGCTCTCTTGTCCCTTCTGTGTTTTTCCTTCACTCCCCACTTAAAATGTAGTTACAAAGCATGGATCCACATGGATCCTCAGGATCTTTGCATTGAGGCCACCCCAAATTCACCATCAGATCACATAGCAGCCTGCCCCCCAAAAATCACACACCCACTGTTGCCTGGGGCTGCAATGGTGCAAAAATGTGGTTAAAAAGCATGGATCCACATGGATCCTCAGGATCTTTGCATTGAGCTACCCCAAATTCACCATCAGATCACATGTCTGTGGCCACAGCATGAAGCACAAAAATGATACATCCACTGTTTCATTCAGAATTTTTTTCCTTGTTTTCCTCCTCTAAAAACGATGTGCGTGTTATGGTCAGGTGCGTGTTATAGAGCGAAAAATACGGTACCTGCATTCCAGGTAGGGCTCGGTAAGACTCCTATCTGAAACCCTGGCTGAAAATATTTAGCTAGATGGACTAATAGAGACAGATGGGTTCAGTACAAGGCAGTTTCATATGCTCTGGATATGTAGCAGCTTCCATGTGACACCAATTTATCCATTGTTAATTGTACTTAGAAGGACCAATTGAAATAATTGGAGTTACTCGTTTCAGTGGGACTACTCTGTCTCTTTCACACATTGTCTCTTATGCATACAATAAATTGAGTACAACTATTTTAATTGCTCAGAAAACTGGTTGTTAACTGTATAAAATGCTAGCATACTTTTGCACGATTGCATTTTGCATTTAATTTTTCAATTATGCCTCTAGTAGGTAAAGGAGAAGGTGGCCCTTAGCTTCACTGTTGGTTTCTACAGTGCACATAATTCAGATGGGTAAAAAATAAATAAATCAAATAGCTCCGTCTTTTTGCTCTTAAACATAAAATATATGTTCTAAACCTTTTACTGGGGATGTAGCACACATTTCAGTTAGACCTGAATCCTGAGTTCATAAATATTCTGGTGCTGTTTACAGAATCTGAATAGTCACTGATGTTTTTGAAAAGTTCCATTCCAGAGTTACATTTAGCCCATTTCTTTCATTTACCTGTTTAGACCAATTTTAACAGTAAATAGTGTAGTTGTAGTATAACAATAACAAAGTGCAATTTCCTTTCTAAAATCTAATCTTTTATGAACATATATTCACTAAATATCCTAAGGACGATAAAATATTTTCCAACTTTAAGCAATGTATTGGGTTTAGATTTCTGACATAAGTAAATTTTCTATTTGATAGGAAAAAATGGATACATTTTTTTTTTTTATTGCACTGCTGTTTGATTAGCCAACCCAAGAAAATTACTCCTAATTGTTCTAGCATGACCCCTCCGGTCAATAAAAACTAAACGGGATCTCGAGACCTCATTTTTCTGAAGAAATTATGCAGGACCTAGCTAAGTGTCCTTCCCTTTTTCATAGTGCCTACATGGGGCTGAATTTAACTGATTCCTACTGAAACCTCTTCATGGCTATGCTTAGGAGAAAGTACCACAATGCATTTGAACTTTTCTTCCTTTTTGTTACAGTGCTTTGGAGTCAAAATTGTTCACCTTCCAAATAGTTTCACTTTGATTGCCCAGTGGAAAAGTATCTCTGCTTTTCTCTTTATTGATCTTCAGCTGGTAGAAGCTGATGTGGAGTGTTGCTGTTTTTTATTAAAATTGCTTAGATATGGGGCAAATGGGCTTGTTAATTTCATCCATCAACATATAACTTTGTAATATCCTACCACTTTTCTCCTAGACATATACAGCATTTGTGTGTGTTCTGTCACCACATATATTCAGAACCTATTTCTGCAAAACTTTAGATTCAATTCTGTCTAACCTGTTTTAGGCATGGAAGCTCTGACCCAGTTTGTACGTTACTCTTCCTGTCCAACATGCTTATGTTATTACTCACCAGTACTGGAGGAACTGGATGTTGTGATATTTCTGATCTTGGGAAGAAGCTGCGATATTCTACAACTTCTCTTCTCTGGCATTACATTGCTGGCAGGGGGAAAGCACCAGCAATAACAGGAGGATGTTACCGCCATGCACCTTCCCCTTAGTGCATAAGGACTTGCATGCACAGAAGAGATACATGTGCATAGCCCACCACCACACACTGGCCTCTAATTTTGGCCTAGAACTGTGTTAATAGCAAATTTTACAGAAGCATCTAAAATGTTAATGATAGCAAGTGAAGTTGTGCAGTTTATTTTGCTTTTCTGATACAAAATGTGGGGGTGGTGTGGTACAAATGCATTATGTTATTAACTTGGCAGTTAGCTTTTACAACTTTTTTTCTAGTTGCTAATAGATAACAGTGCCGACTTACTTTTATTATTTATCAATATTGAACCACTGCAGAACTGGGAGAAACAAATGATTAGAAAAATAATCAGTTCAGTAACCTATTGCACTCAGGTTTTCCAAGGCAAATTTGTAGGGGAGAAAGAGGTACTGTATTTAATTCTTCCCATGCCTACTGATTATGACTTGCAAATCCCCCCTACTTCCAGTTTCAGAGTCTGACTTGAGAGAAAAATGGGGTAAAATGCTCCCCCACACTCAGTTTCACCCATGCATTCGTGTTAAAAGGAAAATGCAAGGTTCCAAGCCCTCAGTTTGCCTCCAAGCATGTATTTCTATCTTAAGTTTCAAGGTGCTGATACAAAAGAAGCAGAAGGCAGGGAAATGAAAGGGCAGCAAGAGCAATAGTACTCAACAATGTTTCTTACTTGAATATTTCAATTATTTTCCCTCCCATGAACTTGTGCTTTGCTAGTGAACAGTTTATTGAAGCGAATGTGTGTGTACGAAATGGCGGAGAATGAAATCTGCTGACTTTCATAGTAGGCAGAGAAAAGTGGTGCCCGGAACAGCTCATTGGGGGGAAATAATGCAAATGATGTTCCTCAAGATTTTACTGCAATGCCTCCCCCCCCCCTCTGCATTTTTAAGATTCAAGTTTTAATGGCCACAGATGTGCCTTACATAGTATATTTTGTACTTTATATAATCTGTCTGGACATGGTTCTATTAACGAAAAACCTCTTTTGCAGCAGTTTATTATGTAAGAGCATTTATGCAGGCAGCCTACTATGAATGTGAGAAAAATTTTCTTCTGCAACTCCATTTTTCCCGGGGTGATAAAATTAAATTAGAAGGAGCATTCAAGTTCCTTCCAGGAAAAGTTTGAGATGTGATTTGTGCTTCAGGGTTAGATGAAGTCTAAGTTGCACTTGGAAACAAGGGCTACTGAAGTTAAGTTGTGATTAAATTGTCCCCTTGGTTTTAATCAGACCTGTGTTTAGCTAACTTAATCTGGTTCCACTTATATAATGCTTTTATCTGTCTGTTTCTCTGTGAATGCATACCAGTTTCAGAAGAGATTACTTCTTTCCCCACATTGGAAGAATTGTTTCTCCATGTATGTGAAAAACGTGACATAACCATCTGAAAAATGGACTTTGAAGTAATTCTAGTGTGTAATGAAACCCTGTGTTAGGCGAGAAGCAGATTGATGAAGCTTATTGGGCAAGTTTTCACACTTTCTGCCACTACTTGTTGCAGATTGAAAGGAAACATGTGCATCTCCTTCGTGTGGAAAATCATGCAATGCATGTAGAACATGTGCATCTCCCATGTGTTTTCCTTTTGCACATTGCAAGAAGCAACAGAAATGGAGGCAGTTGCATTTCAAAGCTTCTTGGAGTGTGTGAAACATCACCTTTGTGAAAGCTGATAAACAAAAGACATGAGCAACGGTAGTGATGGTGCATGGAAATAATTTTTAAAAAACCTTTTACAATAAGCCACTCTATACGCTTCACATTGAAATACATATTTTCTGGTTAGGAGTAACAGAACATCTATTGCTCATCAGAGCACTGTGATATATGTCAACAATTTCTTGAAAAGGTGTGTTGACAATAAAAAGTGAAATAGAAATAATACTATAAAAAGTAAATGGAGTGAGGAGTCTGTAGCTGTTTAATGTTTGTCTTAACAATATTCTTGCCAGGGGGCAGTGGTTTATAGCCTCTTTGTAGGGTACCTGCTCATCTGTGGAAGGCATGTGATCTAACATCTTGCTTATATGGTGACACTCAGCTCGACGCCTGCAGCTAAGTCCATGGGAAAGCAGCGTTGTTAGCAGACTACTGACACCAACACATTCATTCTTGGCCAGAAGTAAAAGTGCAGCCACCTTGTCAGGAGATGCAGGTAAAATGAAAAAAATTATAGAACTAATTCCTCTACTCAGTTGTGTTTCTTCTTCTTCTTCTTCTTCTACTACTACTGCTACTACAGTGGTACCTCATGTTACATACCGTCCCCCTTACGAATGCTGCGGGTTACGCACTCCGCTAACCCGGAAGTAGATGCCCCTTGTTGCGACCTTTGCCCCAGGATGCGAGCGGAAGTCACACTCCGGCGGTGCGGCAGCAGCAGGAGGCGCCATTAGAGAAAGCGCGCCTCATGTTATGAGCGGTTTCCTGTTACTAACAGACCTCCGGAACAGATTAAGTACATAACACGAGGTACCACTGTATATCTCTGCAAGCCTGTTTTAAAATTGAAGTTTGACCAAGGTTCATAATGTAGAGTTGATTTGTCCATAGATGGAATTAACTTGACTTTTCTTAAAAAGGATCCATTAGCGGAAACTTGCTCCTGCAGCTATATGTTAGTTTTTAGCCTATCAAATAAGAGGTGTGTGTGTTCTAGAAGTTATTCAGGAGTGGTTTTGCAGAAATTGAGCACATTGGCGTCCCTTAGATATTAAGGGGGCCATACCATTTACTTGTGGGCCTGAGTCCCACTGACTTTCAGTGGAAAGTGGGAACCTTTTCCTGACTTGTGTCCTTAGTCATTAAATAGGGAGCATTTAGCAGAGACTATTTTGTCTGGTTCTGCCTCAGAGATGGGGAATCTTTGGCCCTTCCAGTGTTGTTGAACTATTGGCTATGGGGCTCATGCGTGTCCAGCTACATCTGGTGGGCCACTTGTTCCCCATACATGATCTACTGGATTAAGAGAGAGAGATAGAGAATGAAAACATGATTAGTGAGATAAATATTTCTGTGAGAGAGTTTGTGAAAGAGAGCCTTGTTTACATATTCCATATTTGCTCAGCATCCCTACCTCATGAACCCAGTGCTTGAGAACAGTAATGCATAGAAAATGAAAGCATCAGTGTTACAAAATCTTAAAGTACAAATGACCTCAAATTGTTCCCCAGTGTGTCAGCTATAATTTCTATCCCAAGGTCATCCTTAAATCTTCCCTTGTTGCTCTACATTAATAATTTGCCAGGGGATAAAAAGAAGAGGCTGGAACACACACACACACACACACACAATTAAGTCCTAAGAGACTTGAGGAAAAGTCACGTGTGTTTGATACAAAACCCAGTGTGTCAAATGAATGATGACACTTCCTGTTCTCTCATTATATCAGTTTGGAAATGATTAATTTCACAGCTTATATAATAAGAGTTAATGTAGGCCTTTGCTAGGCGATTTTGGTACTATATTACAACCTCTTTTGAATATGTAAGTATTCCCAGGCGCTTACAACTTCATTTCAGAAAAAGGAGTCTAGCAGGCATGGGAGAATTTGAAATATTTATTCTAGCTGAGGACCATTGGCTTTTCAGAGGAAGATTAAGGCATACATACAGTAAAAACATTTAGGGTAGACGGTAGATAGGCAATCCATATCTTTCCATAGAGAGAAATATGTTACAAAGCCAAGCAGTGTTTGCCTTATCCATACAAGAAAAAGTTATCTGTATTTGCCTTGTCCTTAAACTTTCTAGTCTATGCATTGAGACTTGACACTCCACTTCCACCCCAAAAAACAAACCCACACACTGGTATAGTATTTTAAAAATCCAAGAAACAAAGTCTAATTCAGTAGTGTAACCTTGGTGGTAAAACACTTGGCCTATTCCCATTTTTAATGTCTCTGAAGGTATCCAAGGATGACCACGTGATCTTTCTAGTTTGAGCATGTCTCTTTTTCTCTCTGTATTAATATCTTATTTCCTTTCTTCCTCCTTCATTCATTCCTTCTTCCTCTTCCTGTTTCCTTCTCTTGACTTTCCTTTTACCTTTTTGGTTTTGTATATATTATGTAAATTTTTAACATAAAAAACCTCCCATACCCTAGTCATCCCCATTTGTCCTCGTTCAGCATCTTGCAGCCCCATCAGCCCTCTCTCCTTCAAGGCCGTAAGCTGTCGGAATCCAGCAGACAGAGCAAAACTCTTTGGCACGACACCTGATGTTAGACGTAGGAGGACTACACATTCAGCAGGGGTGAGTAAGCTCATTAGTTATGAATAGGCTTATAGCTGTGGTGAAGCGAAGCTACAGAAATGATAGACTACATACTCTGCTTTCATCAGAGAAAATGGGTTTGATAGACAACAAGATGATTAATATGAAGTTTTAAACAGCTGAGGTTTTTCCCCCAATAAGCAAATGCTTATTTCGAAACACCAGATACTATCAAATTTAATAGTAAAGGTTGCCTTTCTTTGTGTACTATCTCTTTTCCCATGCACAATGTGCAAAGAACTTCTTATCAAATCACATGGTGATGTGGCTGATTGAACCTCTCTGTCAAATTTTAGATGAGCAGAAAAGAAAAGGAAAAGGTCCTTTCGTTGTCTAACCCATCTGGCAAAAAAAGATCACGTTCGCCTGCTACCTTCAGAAGCAAATCAGCTGCTTGGTAAGTAATTGGCTGACTGCCTGTGCATCGTTTTAAGTGCTGTTTTCAGCCAGCATTTGCTGGAAAAATAGAATGTACATAGAAATGGAAAAAAAGTGCAACTGTTAGAGGAGTGGCCCTACTCTGATTTTCCACCCACTCACCTCTGGATTATCAGGAAGGCCTTCTTTAACCACTTGACCCTGGAGAATATTGGAACAGACTGTGATATCACACCAGACTGGGACACTCTGTCTCTTATGTAGGCAGAGGACAATCATGCATGCACATACTAAAGTGAACATACTTCCCACAGCCTGCTAAACATGCAGCTGACATCTGTATGAAAGTACAGAGAGTAAGGCATTTCACACCACATGATAGCTACCCTGTAGCTAAGAAAATGGCTGCTACTCATCTGCCTTGTTTTGCACTCTAGGACCATTGTACAGCTAACAAATGTTTGAAGAACCATCCTGATGTTTAATGATATGGCAGTATAGTAATCCTTTTATGGCAGTGTACAGATACTTTTATAAATAATAAATAAATACACACAGAGCTCAGGATCCAAAGAGTTCATTTACACACGTCAGGGTTGTTGTTGCATGTTGCTGTTTCATGTTTCGTTATGTCCAGTGGGATTTGTAACTTTCCACCCCCACTCTGAACAGCCCATGCTATATCACAGATTGCTCTTGAGAGTAGTCTTTAGTTCCAAGTGCTTTGCCGTGAGACACTGGAAAGGCTGCTTTTTTGAAAAATGCCTCTTCGGTATGTAGAGCTACTTACAGAAGTGCTTGGTTCTGGGCCACAGGGAGTTTCTCATATTAGAGAACTCTCGGTTGAGGCAGACTTTTGACCTTTGCAAGACACGGAAGAAGATAGCAGGACACAGGGAGATGCTTTATACTCAGTCAGATTAGTGGTCCATCTCGTTCGTTACTGTCTCCATTGATTGGCAGCTGCTCTCCAGGGTTTCAGACTCAGCTCTCTCTGGAGATGCCAATGATTGAACCTAGGACCTTTTGCATGGAAAGTCCCAGTGTTACAATAATCCATTGTTCTACATCTAGTGAAGGCAATCCTGTTTCCATGGTGCCAGCATAATCTTTACCCATTGGCAAGAAAAAAGGGAAAGCTTCTCAGCATGATTGCAGTATTCATCCTGACTGTTCACAGCTAAATACTTATCTGTATTTAGTTCTGTTCTTGCTAGTCTTGAAGATAAGTTATCAGTTATTAATGTTGCTGTCACTGTTTCTTTATGGCTCCAACAGGCATGCCTCTAGGTCTTTACCTTTCTTGCCTGGAACACCCAAAAAGGTGGTTTCAGCACATGGATCAACCAGAATCTCTGTTGCTCAACAACGCCCTCCTTCTCCTGGCAACATCCGACCCACCAAAAATGACCGCAAAGTGGAAAATGTTAAAAAAGAAATACAGCGGGAGTCTGAGAAGACCACTGAAGAAAAGACAGACCATGCGAAAGCAACCTTCAGTCCCACAGTGGTTACAAACCAAGAAGCACTCCCTTGTAAAATAGAGACCACACAAAGTAAGGCTTGACTTATTAGCATTCCAGTGTGTTCCTAACTACCCTGGCCCATCTTCCAAACAGGTAGCATTTGGGTGCCATTTTGATTCGCTAAAGCCAGTGGGGGGAGTTGTAGCAGGCCTCCAAGTTTAATGATTTCAAAATGCTTCATATTCATTGTCTTTGTTGAGACTCCAAATTTTGGAGAGCCGTCAGGCAAGAAAACCCACAGTAGCCCCCTCCTTGGTGAGGGCAACCCTCGCCTTAATGGGCTACCTCCATAGCACTACCATTGCTGCCATGTTCTTCCCCTCCTCATCACTGTTGCCACTATCACCTTGTTCACTCATTAATTCAACCACCCTCTGGACCTGAGGGAGCAAGCAGGGAGGGGCTGCTGCTTCCGCCCCCCCCCTCTCACCACTCATTTATTATTATTATTATTATTATTATTATTATTATTATTATTATTATTATTACACTGCCACTCTGGGCAGCTTCTGCCTCTCTCCTTTTCTCAACATCAGCTAGCAGACCCTGCCTTGGCAATTTAAAATTTCCTCCTAGTTACAGAAGTTGCATAAATGTTTCCTGATTTTTGACACCTGAAAAAAACTTTTTTGTTTAGGCAACTCTACCCGGACATGTAATTTTAATAAGTGTATTTGTGCTTTTTTAGCTGTGGATTTCTCTAGATTTTGATAATTGGACTGTGTGTACTGCTTTCAAAGTCTGTTTTACCACTCTTTTAATGAATATTTTATGCTGTTTTTCTTAAACCACTTAGAGATGCTTTTTATTTAATTTCTTTCTTTCTTTCTCCCTCCCTCCTCTCCCTCTCTCCCTCTCCCCTCTAATATCACCAACATGATAGGATGTCCAGGTACACAGAATATGCACTGCTGAATATTCCTTTCTTACTGTTTCAGTTGCTGCTCCAGTTCTGCCCTCTGCTCCTTCAGTTGCTTCACCACCTCCTATCTGTAGCAAGCCTTCTGCAGGGACAACAGACCCAGAAGAAGCAACCAGGTTGCTTAGCGAAAAAAGAAGGCTGGCCCGGGAACAACGAGAGCGGGAAGAGCAGGAAAGAAGAGAGAGGGAAGAGACTGAAAGGTGACGATCTCGACATTTAGAAGAGATGTAGAAGATGCCCTTTTAGCACAGCTTAACATTTCTTTGCATAAGTCATAGCCCCCCAAATCACAATGTTGAAAACCAGATATTGCCCAGCCCTACTCTTTGCATCTACATAGTTCCACCTTATTTCAGAAATCATGACATATGGGTATATCACAATGTTTAGTTGGTGATATATATTGTGATGTTGAAAACCAGATATTTCCCAGCCATAATGAGAACAGAATGCAGGGTAATATGGTGCCCTGTCTGAGGCCAAAATTTGACACCTTCCGGTCCAAAGCCACTTCCCAAAGGCAGGTAAGAGAGACACTGGGTTTGGGAAGGAGGCACAAGGCTCTGGGCAAGGTCCTGTCTTCTTCCCTAAGCTGCGCAAGTGCTAACTAGGCTTTGGGAAGAAGGCAGGAGGATTCTAGGACCTTGTCAGAGCCCTCACAGCCCTTCCCAAAGCCCAGTGCTTACCAGGCTTTGGGAAGGAAGCAGGAAGGCACCCCCACCGCCGCACCCTGTGCAGGGGAACCAGCCGTGCTCCCCTAAATTCACCTCTGCAGAATGCATGGAAGGGGAGTTCTTACTTTGGTAAACCCTCACACAATAGACTCCCAGCTTGTGTTGCCCCCTGCACTCTGAATTGGTACAGGCCAGAGAGAAGTGTGATTTGGCCCTTACTAATGGTGTCCACCCAAATAATGTGTTTCCAGAGAAGGAAAACTCTTCTTTTTTACTTTTTGTGTTATGAACTGCTGCTGTCTGCCGCTTGTTTCTTTTAGTGAATTTGGTGGTTGGAGGCACTTTAATTTAGCGTTTGTTTAGCTATTTGCTTTATGTTGCTAAGGAGCAGAACAAACTATACCAGAAAAATAAAAGCAAAAATCTTATTCCCCCCCCCTGACACACCCCTCCCCTGCTGTACATTCTTCTGAGGCTCATTCTTGATGCTCATAGACAAAAGAAGGAGGAGCTGGCCCAGAGGATAGCAGAAGAAAGAGCTCGCCGTGAGGAGGAGGCTCAGAAACAGGAAGCAGAGAGGAAGCAGAAAGAGGCAGAGCATAAGCAGGAAGAAGAGGAGCAGTTGTGCCGCCTGGCGGAAGAAAAAGAAAAGAAAGAACGAGAGGAAATGGAACACCTTCAGAAGCAGGTTTTAGAAATTAAAGAGGATTTTCACATTTTTATCAGGGGGTATTGCAGAGATAGCTAAAGGATGCTTATGTGACTTTCTGAACTGGTAGAAATTCTTGAGATGAAATGAAGGGAAGAGAAGACATCCTTAGCACCCTAGAGGATTCCTGGTTTAGACACACAAGTCATACCACCTCATGTAGCCAAACCTGACATCCCACAGCACCACACTGGTCTACATTTAGGCACCCTGCATTCCTGCAAAAAACAAACGTTGCCACTTTGGACAATAAGCATTGCCACCTTAGGGCAATACTTTAATTGTTGTTGTTGTTTAGTCGTTTAGTCGTGTCCGACTCTTCGTGACCCCATGGACCAGAGCACGCCAGGCACTCCTGTCTTCCACCGCCTCCCGCAGTTTGGTCAGGCTCATGTTGGTAGCTTCAAGAACACTATCCAACCATCTCATCCTCTGTCGTCCCCTTCTCCTTGTGCCCTCCATCTTTCCCAACATCAGGGTCTTTTCCAGGGAGTCTTCTCTTCTCATGAGGTGGCCAAAGTATTGGAGCCTCAACTTCACGATCTGTCCTTCCAGTGAGCACTCAGGTCTGATTTCCTTAAGAATGGATGCGTTTGATCTTCTTGCAGTCCATGGGACTCTCAAGAGTCTCCTCCAGCACCATAATTCAAAAGCATCAATTCTTCGGCGATCAGCCTTCTTTATGGTCCAGCTCTCACTTCCATACATCACTACTGGGAAAACCATGGCTTTAACTATACGGACCTTTGTTGGTAAGGTGATGTCTCTACTTTTTAAGATGTTGTCTAGATTTGCCATCACCTTTCTCCCAAGCAGCAGGCGTCTTTTAATTTCGTGACTGCTGTCACCATCTGCAGTGATCATGGAGCCCAATAAAATAAAATCTCTCACTGCCTCCATTTCTTCCCCTTCTATTTGCCAGGAGGTGATGGGACCAGTGGCCATGATCTTCGTTTTTTTGATGTTGAGCTTCAGACCATATTTTGCGCTCTCCTCTTTCACCCTCATTAAAAGGTTCTTTAATTCCTCCTCACTTTCTGCCATCAAGGTTGTGTCATCTGCATATCTGAGGTTGTTGATATTTCTTCCGGCGATCTTAATTCCGGCTTGGGATTCATCCAGCCCAGCCTTTCGCATGATGAATTCTGCATATAAGTTAAATAAGCAGGGGGACAATATACAGCCTTGTCGTACTCCTTTCCCAATTTTGAACCAATCAGTTGTTCCATATCCAGTTCTAACTGTAGCTTCTTGTCCCACATAGAGATTTCTCAGGAGACAGATGAGGTGATAAGGCACTCCCATTTCTTTAAGAACTTGCCATAGTTTGCTGTGGTCGACACAGTCAAAGGCTTTTGCATAGTCAATGAAGCAGAAGTAGATGTCTTTCTGGAACTCTCTAGCTTTCTCCATAATCCAGCGCATGTTTGCAATTTGGTCTCTGGTTCCTCTGCCTCTTCTAAATCCAGCTTGCACTTCTGGGAGTTCTCGGTCCACATACTGCTTAAGCCTGCCTTGTAGAATTTTAAGCATAACCTTGCTAGCGTGTGAAATGAGTGCAATTGTGCGGTAGTTGGAGCATTCTTTGGCACTTCCCTTCTTTGGGATTGGGATGTAGACTGATCTTCTCCAATCTTCTGGCCACTGCTGAGTTTTCCAAATTTGCTGGCATATTGAGTGTAGCACCTTAACAGCATCATCTTTTAAAATTTTAAATAGTTCAGCTGGAATATCATCACTTCCACTGGCCTTGTTATTAGCGATGCTTTATTAGACTTCACTTTCCAGGATGTCTGGCTCAAGGTCAGCAACCACACTACCTGGGGTATACGAGACATCAATTTCTTTCTGGTATAGTTCCTCTGTGTATTCTTGCCACCTCTTCTTGATGTCTTCTGCTTCTGTTAGGTCCTTTCCACTTTTGTCTTTTATTATGGAAATCTTTGTACAAAATGTTCCTTTCATATCTCCAATTTTCTTGAACAGATCTCTGGTTCTTCCCATTCTATTGTTTTCCTCTATTTCTTTGCATTGCTCGTTTAAGAAGGCCTTCTTGTCTCTCCTTGCTATTTTTTGGAAATCTGCATTCAATTTCCTGTATCTTTCACTATCTCCCTCGCATTTTGCTTGCCTTCTCTACCCCGCTATTTGTAAGGCCTCGTTGGACAGCCACTTTGCTTTCTTGCATTTCCTTTTCATTGGGATGGTTTTAGTTGCTGCCTCTTGTATAATGTTACGAGCCTCCATCCATAGTTCTTCAGGCACTCTGTCCACCAAATCTAAATCCTTAAACCTGTTCCTCACTTCCACTGTGTATTCATAAGGGATTTGACTTAGATTGTATCTTACCGGCCCAGTGGTTTTTCCTACTTTCTTCAGTTTAAGCTTGAATTTTGCTATAAGAAGCTGATGATCTGAGCCACAGTCAGCTCCAGGTCTTGTTTTTGCTGACTGTATAGAGCTTCTCCATCTTTGGCTGCAGAGAATATAATCAATCTGATTTCGATGCTGCCCATCTGGTGATGTCCATGTGTAGAGTCGTCTCTTGTGTTGTTGGAAAAGAGTGTTTGTGATGACCAGCTTGTTCTCTTGACAGAACTCTATTAGCCTTTGCCCTGCTTCGTTTTGAACTCCAAGGCCAAACTTGCCAGTGGTTCCTTTTATCTCTTGACTCCCTACTTTAGCATTCCAATCCCCTATTATGAGCAGAACATCCTTCTTTGGTGTCACTTCTATAAGGTCTTGTAAGTCTTCATAGAATTGGTCAATTTCAGTTTCTTCAGCACCAGTAGTTGGTGCATAAACTTGGATTACTGTGATGTTAAAAGGTCTGCCTTGGATTCGTATCGAGATCATTCTATCATTTTTGAGATTGCATCCCAGTACAGCTTTCACCACTCTTTTGTTGACTATGAGGGCCACTCCATTTCTTTTACGGGTTTCTTGTCCACAGTAGTAGATATGATAGTCATCCGAACTGAATTCGCCCATTCCCGTCCATTTTAGTTCACTGATGCCCAAGATGTCAATATTTATTCTTGCCATCTCATTTTTGACCACATCCAACTTACCCAGGTTCATGGTTCTTACATTCCAGGTTCCTATGCAATATTTTTCTTTACAGCATTGAACTTTCCTTTCGCTTCCATGCATATCCGCAACTGAGCGTCCTTTCGGCTTTGGCCCAGCCGCTTCATCAGCTCTGGATCTACTTGTACTTGTCCTCCGCTCTTCCCCAGTAGCATGTTGGACACCTTCCGACCTGAGGGGCTCATCTTCCAGCGTCATAACTTTTATATGCCTGTTGTCTTTGTCCATGGAGTTTTCTTGGCAGGGATACTGGAGTGGCTTGCCGGTTCCTGCTCCAGGTGGATCACATTTGGTCAAAACTCTCCACTATGACCTGTCCATCTTGGGTGGCCCTGCACGGCATAGCTCATAGCTTCTCTGAGTTATTCAAGCCCCTTCGCCACGGCAAGGCAGTGATCCATGAAGAGGAATACTTTAATTAGGCCAACCAAAATGTCACAAAATAGTGTGGAAGCTTTTGTGTTCTCCAGCGTTCTCAGATGAGATGGTAAACAAAGTGAGGGGTGGGGGAGGCGAAAAAGTTGGCTGATGTTAGAAGCCAGTTAGTCACAGTCATAAGATGGAATGTGGGAGGAGGCAGCAGACACTCAAATTAGGCTCTGCTAGGAATACAACATGTTTCTCCTGGTTCATGCTGGGTTTCATATTTTTGCTTTAGCGGTTTTGTTGAAATAGTTTGCTTCTAGTGAGATCAGCCTTTTCCCTGTTCCAGTTCTCCATCTTTAACTTGGAAATACAAGGTTGGATCCAGATTTAGTAGCATTTAGAGAAGACCCATTGAAATCAGTGGGACTAATACAGGGTTAAATCCAGACTGAGTCACATCCATATCATGCAGTACATTTCTGCTTTGAACATGCAAGGGGAAATCCCTTTTCTAAAAACTCTTTCTGTGCCCTGCCACGCCCCTGCAACTCCCAGTGCAAACAGCACCTTCAGAAAGAGGAATTCCTCTCAGGGGTTACAGCAGGAGAGGAAAGGGTTAAGCTCCCCCTTTGCACCTGCTCTGATTCCAATCATTATCAGACACTGCCCCACAAGATAGTGCAATTTATTAAAACTTGCATGTTCAGTACAAAGATGCACTTAGCATCTTGTGTAGTTTGGCCCCTAAACACAGTTTTCAATGTATCCTCCCACCATATCATCCATGTACAGAAAAAAAGAAGTACTTGGTGATAAATACAGACATCAAGAGTAACTGTGGAGGTAAGAATTATGTACTCCCAGGAAAATGAATGATCCTTTCAGCAGGAACATTGGCATTTTAATTTTTGGAGGAGGCTGTATAGAAGTACAGGGTTGAATTTAGAACCCTACATTTTAATTTGGAAAGCACTGTGATTGAAATACAGAGAAGTAATGAGATTGCACATCCAGTGAGGTTCTTTTATGAGCAGCAGCACCCTCCCCTCCACACACACACCCGGCCCAATTATAAGCTGCTTATGAAATCTATTAGAAGCTGATTTCAGTATGGAAATAGAAAAGAACTATGATGCAAACACTGCTGTACTGACACAGCCTCTTGGTGCCTGCTTGTGGGATTGCAGACACGGAAATGAACTGTCAGGTTAGTTAAAAACTTGATGAGCAGATAAGCAAATGTTTGTTGATGGATGAGTTAATCCATGTTTTCCTTTGCTGTGTTGGCATTTAGAAGGAAGAAGAGGCTCGGTTACGAGAAGAGCAGATTCGGTTAGAGCGTGAAAAGCATTTCCAGAGAGAAGAACAAGAGCGCTTGGAAAGGAAGAAGGTAACAGGAAGGCGCATGGGCATGTGGAACGGGATCTTGTGTGTGGCTGGAACCTTCCCAGTAGGGCAGGTGGCCATTGGAATTTCCTGCGATTTAGCCTTGTGGGTGGGCAGTGGTTGAGCTTGAGGGCCAGATTCCCTAACAGAAGACACTCCAGCCATTTTCCAGGGAACTTCCTTTACAAGAGGGCCTCTTCTGGCCCTGCACCCTCCATGTGTCCATGCTGCACGTGCACAAATTATCCCTCTGATTTGGAACCCTGCACAATCAGAGCTGCAAATCACAGGGAGGACCTATATGTTTGGGGATATCTTTTTCTGTTAAGGGCCACATTCCATCAGGGATAATCTGTTGGGGGCCACATGCTTGTGGTGGGTGGGGCCAAAACCAGAAATGGGCATCCCCTTCTTTCCTTCCTTCCTTCCTTCCTTCCTTCCTTCCTTCCTTCCTTCCTTCCTTGTTTCTGCCACCCCATTTTCCCTCCATCACCCTATTTCCACTTCTATGTTTCCAACATTAAACTAGGCCAAGACCCACAGGTGGCCCTCAGGCCACAGTTTTTCCATCCCTGATCTACGCACATACGACGAGGCTTCTCTTCATATTTGTTAGTCCAAACATGTACAGTGTGGCAACAGGGGTGGCCTCTTCCATTCCACCCATTTGCATGGAGGGAAACCCCCAAAACAAGCTTTGCAGTGAGTGCTGTGAATGTGCTTTGAACTCGCTGCTTATAGTGTGATGGTGCCTGTTAAAAAGAAACTGGATGGTGATACATGCCACCCGGCCAATCCGTCACTGCCACCTCCCCCTTCCATCCTGCCTGTTGGATAATAAGTTTCTTGAGAATGTTTCTGTCTCGGGGGGACTGGGAAATGGCAAAGGAGGACATGGTAGCAAGGGGGACTGGAGCATGAGAGGAGGGAACCGGGAGAGGGAGCATGCAAGAAGGCAGCTTGTTCACCATCTTCCTCTCACTGCCGCCATCTCCCTCTGTAGGGAGCGGGTGGTGCTGTGGTCTAAACAACTGAGCCTCTTGGTCTTGCTGATTAGAAGGTCAGCGGTTTGAATCCGTACAATGGGGTGAGCTCCTGTTGCTCTGTCCCAGCTCCTGCCAACCTAGCAGTTCAAAAGCACACCAGCGCAAGTAGATAAATAGGTACTGCAGTGGTGGGAAGGTAATCGGTGTTTCTGTGTGCTCTGGCTTCTGTCATGGTGTTGCGCCAGAAGCAGTTTAGTCCTGCTGGCCACATGACCCAGAAAGCTGTCTGTGGACAAACACCAGCTCCCTCAGCCTGAAGTCAGATGAGCGCCTCAACCCCATAGTCACCTTTGACTGGACTTAACCATCCAGGGGTCCTTTACCTTTACCTGTACCTTCTTCTCCTGCTGCTGGGTTCTTGAGATAGAAACAGCCCATTTCAGGAAATCAGTGTCAGGGCACTTAATTCCACAACAATAGGAAGAAAAAGAAGTGGCAGCATTGGCATGTCTGTAGTAAGTACCAGTTTCCAATTCAGTACTATGAACCTGTAGCCCTTCAGATGCTGTTGGAACTCCCACTCCCATCAGCCCCAGCCAGTTTTCCCAGTTGTCTTGGTTGATGGGAGCTGTAATTCACCAGCATTTAAAGAGCCATTGGTTCCCCATATCTGGTATAGGAACACATACATTAAAAAGAGAGTTCACAATGTGTTCACAGCACGTAGTTAAAGACTAACCACAGTAAAGAGTATTTTTATTTTCTTTGCAGCGTCTTGAGGAAATTATGAAAAGAACTAGGAGAACAGAAGCTGCAGAGAAGGTAGATACGTCACTTCATCCTCTCTTTGTAGAAAACATTGCTACCTTCATATATAGATACATTTTCTGTCAGTGGAGCTTCTAACTTTTTTATTTTAAAAAAATGATTTATTTTACAGAAATCAAATGAGCAGCAAAATGGGGAGATAGCAAAGGAAACAGGTATTACTTTCTTGATCCGCATCTACTTTCGTTCTGAAATGATTATTATTCACAGCATGACTTGAGTAGGAGAGAATTTTAAAAGCTGGCAGCCCAAATATATTTAATGAAAAGTCAATGATGAATCAAAGCATGTGAAAGCACATGATAGTCTGCTACAAACATAATTATGTGTGCAATTAAATATATAATTAGGAATACAAGCTTTTATTAGTTTAATTGCCAGATTAATCAACCAAAGCTTTAAATAATTAGTCAGTTGGGGGTCAGTTTTAATCAGTATGGGCAAAATCATCAGTCCTTCCAGCTGCACATGACCTATGGCCATGGCAGGGTCACTGATTTCAAGTGTAATTATGCTACTGTCATAAATTACTTTTATTTGCATTTTTTAAAACATGAAATTGGAAGAGCATAAATTATCTGTTACGATTTCTAAAAGAGGTGCAAAAGGAGAGATTTCTTGCTAGATTGTTTTGTCAAGCCATGATGTTGTTACTAATTAGATATTAGAGGTTTTTCTAACACCAAGAGGGAAACCAAGTTGTTTGCAAAGCTTAATTGGATGCAGAACCCTCTATTTCTGTCTTTGCTTTAAGCCCGGAGCATATGATGTGCTGAGCAACCTTTCCCAACCAGGAACTCTCCAGATGTTTTGGCCTCCCAACTCCCATCAGCCCCAACCAGCCAATGGTCGGGGTGATGGGAGCCTGGAGTTGAAAACATCTGGAAGCCACCAGGTTTGAGAAGGATGTGTTATGGAATTAACACAGGGAAAAAAGTAAGTCTGTTGGTACAACTCAGGATGATCCAGATGAGCGGCTTGTATCTCAAACAGGTTATTCAGATCTAATTTTTCTGTGTGCATGTTTGGCATATTGGCTTCCTCATGTTCATGTTTATTCTGTCATAGATAGTCATAGTCATTTTGTGGCTTATCATCCACATCAGTAGGAGGAACTTCATGAGTTGTTTCTGGAGGAAACATAATTGTTCCTCTCCTGTTATCCGCTGCCTTTTCTGTTCTGAGCATGTACATGGATTGAAGTAAATGCACCCTTTTCTGTCAAAAGTGATGTGGAAAACTTTCCCCCCTTTTCTCTAGCTGTGAGCACTCCATTAAGCCCTGCGATGGCTTCTCAGGTTCAGTGTGTGCCAGAATCTCCACGGAACGGGGAATTGCTCACCCATACCCACGTGCTAATTTCTCATCAGCCCACAGTCAACCTTGACAGGTGAGAGACCTGAACTGAAATGTCTCTAGCAATACCTGATGTTTCTTCTTACTGATATGAAAGCGTATTAAATCAGATTATTTTCCCTTTTTGGGTGTCTCCATCAGAAAGTTTTCATCATCTGCTCAACACAACCAAACACCCCCCAGCAATCAAATACACGGAGTACTACTGTATTCAGTGTCTGTCAAATGTTCCTACATTAAATATTGTCGTTCTTATCAAACCACTTAAAAGCACAGCTTGCTGCTTGGTAGCTAAGAGCATACCCTTTAAATTTTAATGAGACATTTTCTCCTCCTATCTGCACTACACCATTATTGAAAAAGAAGTTGCCGTAGAAAATACATTGCTAGATTTCTGCTTTTCATTGTACAGAAAAGAATGCAAGCTCTCTTACATGAGTGTCAGTCAGCATGTCTCTTTTTTAAAAGCTTTTTTATAACTAGAATCAGATCAAGAATACCCTTTGCGTGTACAAAGATTTCTTTGCACTTCCTGGGTGGGGGGGGGGCACAGTTAGCAGCGGCACAGCTCTCTAGCTTCTCACAGAGTCACACTTTTCGCACATAGTAATAATAATAATAATTTATTATTTGTACCCCGCCTATCTGGCTGGGTTTCCCCAGCTACTCTGGGCGGCTTCCACAAAGACCAAAAATACACTAAGATGTCACACATTAAAAACTTCCCTAAACAGGGCTGCCTTAAGATGTTTTCCGAATGTCAGGTAGTTGTTTATCTCTTTGACATCTGATGGGAGGGCGTTCCACAGGGCGGGCGCCACTACCGAGAAGGCCCTCTGCCTGGTTCCCTGTAACCTCACTTCTCTCAATGAGGGAACCACCAGAAGGCCCTCGGCGCTGGACCTCAGTGTCCGGGCAGAACGATGGGGGTGGAGACATAGGCTTGGAGGAAGCTTGTTTCCCACTCTTCAGAATGAGCCATCGAGAACCTTGTGCTTAAGCATGTCCCTTCTCCTCTCCTTATCTTTCATGCTCATGAAGAGGTGGTCAGAAGCTTCCACTTTTCATTTTAAACTAGCTACTGTTCCTTAAGATGACCAAATCATCATCTGCATATCCATGAACAACAAAGCAACAAGGATGGCCAACCTGAACAGCACTGGTTATTGTGCCAGAGCAGGAAAGGTGCCTTAAGGCAAAATAAAAACAGCTACTCCAACCCTTAACACTATACAAAGCTCATTAAAAGTGAAATATGTTCAGCATTTAAAGGGAAAACTGCACCCGCCAATGTTTAATTCTGCTTCAAATTAATTAGCAAGTACCACCTGGCTGTCAATATTTATCATTGTGTATATCGGTTATCTGTCTCTTTCGATTGAATGTTATATCTGCAAATTGTGTAAACTCTAGAGAGGTGTATATTGGCAGAAAAGCAGACTAAAACAAGAATACCTGATGCACCCAATTTGCATAAATAATATTGAATTGTTAAATCAGAGGACACTTTATTGACGCTCATGGGTTAGAAGTGCTGAAAATTTGTTATTGGCCACTATTTTGACATGACCAACAGTATTTGCATTGTAACTCATTTTGCACCATTGGTGCCTGACAAATTCTGTGTACATAAATGTCCAGCATCCTGTTCTCACAGTGGCCAACCAGATGCCTGGGAAAGCATGCGAGCTGGGCATGAGCACAAAAGTACTCTGCCCACCTGCACTTCCCAGAAACTTGTATTCAGAAGATTACCGCTTCTAACAATGAAAGTAGGACATAGCCATTGTGACTATTAGCCATTGATAGCCTTATCCTCCATGAATTTGTTTAATCTTCTTTTAAAGTTGGTGTAATCCAACAGATGGAGCTATATACCGAATCAGACCATTTGATGCATCTAAACCATTTTTGTCTATTCCCATGGCTAATTATTCTCTAGGGCCTCTAGCAGAGGACTTTCCCAGCGTGGCTGCCTGAGAGCTTTTTAACCAGAATGATTAAAGACTGAAGTGTCAACCTCCTATTTTTGCAAACCATGTACTCTTCCACTGGGCTGCGAGTTTACATTAACAGAAGCTAGTCTAGCGTCAGGCAAATGCTTCATATTGCCAGTGCATGAAAAACAAAGACAGCACTGTAAATTCATCTAAGACAGTTTTGAACAGTTGTTTTCAGTTGTTTTCATAGAATTGTAGAGTTGGAAGTGTCCCTGAGGATCATCTAGTCCAACCCCCTGCAATGCAGGAATATGCAGCTGTCCCATACGGGAATCGAATCTGTAACCTTGGCATTATCAGCACCACCCTCTAACCATCCGAGCTATTATATTCTTGTCACTGCTGTGCAGCTTGTGTTGATTCCAGTGAAATCAATGTTTTAACAGTGTAGCAATTGTTTCATATTCTATTTAATGGAATAATGTTACTGTAGCGGCTGGGGAAACCCAGCCAGATGGGCAGGGTATAAATAATAAATTACTATTACTATTACTACTACTATAATTATTATTATTATTACATAGATGTGATACGATTGCTTGACTCTGGAAATGAAACTGCACGATATGCAGTCAGTTACACAGAGTTAGTACTGACTTCTTTTTACAGTGGTACCTCGGTTTACTAACTTAATCCATTCTGGAAGTTCGTTCTTAAACCAAAGCCGTTATTAAACTGAGGTGCGCTTTACTTTATGAGGCCTCCTGCCGCCTGTGCCCTTCCACCGTTCGGCTTCCATTCATAGACCAAGGTAAAGTTCACTAACCGGAACACTGCTTCAGGTTTTGCAGAGCTTGTATACCAAAAGGTTCATAAACAGGGCTGTTCTTAAACCAAGGTACCACTGTATAATACCATTTCTACTGTCATGATTATTCTCGTATTGATAAAAGCAATGTGAGCTTATACATTAAAAATTTTAAGAATCAGGATGTTAGAATGCTAGCTAGTGGGAGGATTCTATCAAAAATAGGACGTTGATCTTCAACTTGTGGGAAAGGCCCTGGCCAATGTGTAGCACCGCTGCTTTTTCTTAGAGGAGAAACAGACATTCAAAGGAAAGCATTTGGGTTACCTCTTTAATGGAAATCAGCGCAGCTGAAAAGCACTTAATCTTTTGTGACCTAATTATTGTCAGTGGTGGAAATTAATTCTTTACTACAACAAAAACGGTGCAAGTACTAAACTTTGCATACCGTATACAGTAGAGTAGCATACAAAATGTTTTATAATCCGTAAGATATTTTCATTATATTTCAGTAATCTCAACCCAGGAAAACATCCAAATGAAAACGGAGTGTCTATGCAGAATGATAATTTTGAGGAGGTCATCAGCTTGCCCATGGGAACGAAACCACCCAGGCTGGATGCTATGAACAATGATGATAAAAATAGCCCTGACATTTCTTTGACTCCCATTCTGGCCTTTGAAGAGAAGGGGACCCTAGGGCCATTGCCTCAGGTAGATAACGTTCAAACACATCAAACAGCAGGTAGGTTTGTTTTAAATCTCTTGTTGATTTTCTAATGGGCATGAAGTGTGGCATCCGAGATGTTTCTAGCAAGTGTCTGGATTCAATTTTTTATTAAGTGCAAGTTCAGGACATGGAACAAATTGTATAACCTCTGCTTTAAAAACGTTTGTCATGTTGCAGCCCAGTTGAAAAGATAGAAATAACTAGGAACCTGCTGGTTCGATTCACTGGGCCAATCTAAGATTGGAATGAATTATTCACCGCAAAGAGAAAGAGCATATACCTCATCCTTTCTCCACCCAAATGTGTGTTCTTTAAGAAACCAGCTGTTTTGATATAAGGGTGAGGCAAGATGACAAGATGCAAAGGGCAGGGTTCTTATAACTTTAGCAGAGGTACAGGAATAGAAACGTCAACCCTTGCAGCTCTTTTTACCCCTTCATGACAAGATGCATCTGTAAGATCATCCTCTGCTACTCAGCAATTCTATTCTCTTTTGCATCTGATCACCATACGAAGCAACTAAGTCCTTGATTAACATTTTCTGTCTGTGACTTGGAACTTGAGCTTCTCTTCCATGAATGGGAGGGCTCCCTCCATTGATTGAAGGAACTCTGACCCAATGGAGGCTCTGCTAACGATCCACTGATTTCTCCCTTCAGCCTCCCACCCTCATATCTCCTACACTGTTCCAGAAAGTCCCTCAACTCTATCAAACATATTTACAGGTGGCACAGGGTGGGTGGAAGGGAGAATCAGTGAAAATCACCTCTTCTCTCTCCTTCTGCCCGCAGAAGTAGCCAGCGTGTTTTTATTATAATAAAAGTACTATTTTTTGCTGTTTGTTGCCTATAAAGAACTTCCCTTCTCTGCTAATTTGCTCTTTATTGGCTTTTCTTCTAGAAGTTGTCTGATCTCTGCTTACAAATTACCAAAGGTGGCATAAAAGTCTCTGCAGCCAGTGGAGTTCCTTCCATGCTATGAAGGAGTGTGGTAGTTTTTGCACTCTCGAGTTTTCTAAAGATTTCTTGGACACTGTTTTTTTGGGTTTTTTTAAGGCCATAGTAAAACCAGCAGAAGAATTTATTGGGAATAGACTTGGATTACCTTTCTATCAAATAGATCTCACCACTAGGAAAAATCATGTTTCATGTGCATAAATTGCTTATATCCAGCAAGTTCCTTTGGTTAGCATAACAGATATTTTCTGCATTCTTGAAGACAAAAGCTTCACTGGATTCTAACAATAACGGGCTGATTGGGGTAATGGACTTGTTTTCTGTTGTTTTTGAAGATGGGTATTTGGTTTTAAAAGGTATGTAAAATCAGCAAAGTATCTTTTACATTTTACGGATTGAATACTTGAAAAGTAAATGCCTCACTGCTCTACAAGTAGGGCTACTGGGGTGTTTTTTTATTTAAGCCTTTTGGTTTAAATATTATTGCAGAGAACTCTTAATTATGGGGGCAACATAGAGGCTTCTGTATCAGGTTCTTGTAAATGTAACTCCTACATGGACATTCTGTATATTTAGGCATCACTACTGTCCTCTTGCATTTTCTTCTAAAAAATAAAATAACATAGCAGGTTTTAAAATGTGAAAAATCGAAAGCATTATTTTTTCATGGATGAAATGGAAAACCTGTTGTTATCCTAGATAATGTATTTATTAATTTTGTTCTGTACAAAATAAATCATAGAAAATGTGCTTAAAAACTACATTGTGAACTTGATTTTTCCTAGTTTCCCTTCTGTAAGGGAATGCAGGGGATAAAAGCAAAATCTTCTGGCATGATGTGGGTCATTCAGCCCCATACTTGGATAGAAATGGGGAGTGGAGAGCTCTCTCTAGCTGATGATGTGATTGATGCAAGAGACACACCCGGACCAGATCTTTTTCTCATGGTGTTTTGGAAATGCAGACCTCTGTGTGTGGTCAACAAGTACTGCAATAGAAAATAATTTGGAAGGCCCCAGTCCTTTCTGTTGAGGTTCTGGCAGGGACAGCAGGACTTGGGCTGCCTGTAGCCTGACTGACTTAGACTGAGCAACCCTGGTTAGGATTGTTTCAGCGTACAAGTGCTGCAGGCTACTCAGGTGAAAGTTGTGATTCCGTGTGCTGCCCCTGACATTTCCCCCCTCTGATTTTGCACCTCCCACTGCTATGCCCAGACCTGTAAAAACTCTGCCTACCTTTCAGTTTGGTCTTTTGCTTTTATATCAAACTTGCTATAAGTGGATATCGCTAAAGTGATACGTTGCACTTTAAAGTGCTGGATGGTGTGATTGGGCAATTAGTGTGTAGCAAGAAATCAATCTCCAAGGGGATGCTGTCATAAAGAGAAGTGATTTGCAGCACACTTGAATTCATGTAATTTATTGGGTGCATGCTGTGTCAAAGAAAATTATGCCAACTGTGTTGGGAATTATGTGAGACGATGCTGGTTTGTGGGCTAGAGTGAATTGGAGGAGAGGAACAAAAGCCATTCTGGACTTTTTAGTACCGTAATTGTGGTATAGCAAAAACAAAATATTTTTATGTTGTTCTCTATGCTCCCTGTACATAGCTATTATTATTTTTTTAATGTCCCCAAATATGTAGTTTTTGCTTCTATATAGGATATAAGTATCAAGTAAACTTCATATAAAACATTTTTATATTTTAATATTTACTTGTTGGTGCACTGGTTGCTGTTGAACAAATATAATGTGTCTATTTGGGGAGCTGAATAGAGGAAATTTCATCTTAGCTCTTTTGCGTTCGAGTTGGAGATGGGTTTCAGATGATGCACTTTTTGCTCTAGGTTAATACAAAACTGCTGTGTTCCTGTTTCCTGTATAGGGGGCAGTACATTAGTTTTTAAACCCTTTTTATTTTTCAGCAGAAGGCTGAGAGAAAATAGCCACCAGTGTCATCCTGACTCCTGTGTGCACAGTGGAACTCCAGAACAGACAGGCTTTCCCATTCATGTCAGTGGAGGGGCAGGGTCTGAATGTGCTTTCCGTTTGTGAACACATCTTTCCTCTCTGATAGATAACAGGGGAAGCCCTTATAGGCAGGAGAGCTCTGTGTTGGCTGTGGATGTCTTTGTACGTGCAAGTTAAGAAGCTATTGATGTATCGGGGCATTTGCACTTTTTAAATATATAGAGAAAATCAGTGTGCTCAGGGGTTGAAGTGTAGTCATGTAGTTGGGCTACTAGTCACATGAAATAACATAAAAGCAACAGTAGTCGAGCAATGTCACAATGGCCACCAGCTTTGATGGTTTTAAAAGGGGGTTAGACAAATGAATGGGGGACAAGGCTAAAAATGGCTACTAGCCATTGGTGTGGCTGAGTCCTACCTTCAGCATATGTATGCCTCTGAATACCAGTTGCTGGGAATCACAAGTCAGGGGAGTGTTGTTGTACTAAAGTCCTGCTTATATGGTTGTGCTTAATGGTTCTGCAAATGGTGAGTCAATTTGAGAACAGGATGCAGGACAAGATGGGCCTTTGCTGTGATCCAGCAAGCCTCTTATTATGTTCCTAAGCACATTCAAAAGCAGTTAATCCAAGATGACATTGACTTAAATCCAAGGGTTCTTTTCCTCCAATAAGAAGGACTTCTTCTCTAGGAGGATCCAACCCAATTATTCTCAAATGTTACCGCAATGAATATTACAAGAAGATAGGAACTGAGGGAAAGAGTTTATTTCTTTTGACATGACTCCTCCTAAAGCACAATAGGCACTCTGTTTATAGGATATCAAAATAGTAGATGAAACATTTTATGAATTGTTATTTGGGCAATGTAAAATTTACCTGCCCTTAATCAAGAGTGCCGTCATTCATAACATGGTATTGTAAATGCCCTTGCCATCTGAACTGCAGCCATATTCAACTTAACATCCATTTTCTGTTAAAAGTAGCACGCATGGGAACTTTTTAGAGGGAAATATTCCAACATGGTTTCAAATTTACTCCTCAAAAGTTTTTTCCAAATTATTGCAAATTTGTTCTTACATCCATAGGTGTGTTCTATTCCAAAATGATGTGTATTAAAAGAGGGATCAGTGTCAGGGACCCTGCATAACAACTTTTTGAAGTGTTTGAATTAGGGAAAGAGTTTTGATGGACAGCAGAAAGAGAATTGCAAACAGAGATAAATGGATGATGAAACTTGTGTTTCTCACTTTAGGACATATCAAAGTGAATGTCAGTGAAGTCCTACTCATTTGATAGTGAGGCAGTTATAAAAACTAGTTATCCAGGATTGTCTAGATGGTTCCTGCCAGGTATTTGTGGTGTGTGTGTGTGTGTGTGTATAGGAATGCAGTGAATTTGGATGACATGGGGTATCTACTGCTTTTCTAGAATTTGTCACTCTTGGGTTAAAATCATCCAGGTTGTGTGTGTGTGTGTGTGGTTTTTTTTTTTTAAGCTGAAGGAATACTATTTTAATTAAATCCTGGAGAAAGCTACTGTAATCAGTTTTCTGAAATGTGCCAACAAATTCATGCTTTGGATAATGTGCTAAAATCCTCATGTTGAAAACTGAGGTCTCAAAAGCTGTAAAGTGTTCCACCACAACATATCCTTAGGCAATGAAAGAACTGATTGGTCATTCATGTATAAACATAGGCTGACTTGGTAGCATTATATAATGGTACCAGCTAGCATGATACATACTTTTCACACACATTTCTTTCTCAAAATGTAGATTTTAATAAAAGATTATAAAATTTCACTTGAAAAGCTAAGATTTTATTATTTACAACTGGACATCTGGAAGGGGTGAAATTGGGGTTCAGGTATTCTGAAATGGAGACTGCCATCAACTTGCAGATGAGTTTAAGGCCATCAGAAACACCTAGGCAGCATGAAGATATTTGCCTCGTGAAATGAATTGCATGCTGCCAGAGCTGAACCTAGAGCAAGATTGATTAGTCTACCAGTATAGGCTCTCACAGTTCATGAATGCCTCAACAAGGACAATGCAATGCTACAGTCTGTACATCTAAGGATAGTGAAAGTATCCTCAGGCCTGGCCCATCCATGTATCAAATAATGAGCTGCATTGTATGAGTCAGCCATCATGGATCAAATAGCACTAACAGACCTTTTATAAAACTTCAAGCACAGTGCTTTTTAGTAGAATCTGCCCACACATCCTACTGTGAGTCATCAAGCGTTGAATAATGGAGCAGTAATACATTACTGTGTAAACTGGTCCCTAATTTCCACCCATATGGAAGTTAAAAGTCCTATTGCGCATGTGCTTGCTGTGGATTTGCCCACAGCCATGGCGTGAAGCTGAGACACCCACATTATGAGTCGGCTCCCTATACAGAGGCAACAAGCTAGCCACCCAGAGCGACATCACCTAGAGCAAAACGCATAGGGTGGAACAAGGCTTCAGGTGTCCATATGTCTGACAGCAATACTGAGAAGATCCTGTGTTTCTGCAATTTGTTGACGGACTTGGTCAAGGTGCTTCTTCAGTTGGCTCTGGCTGAATGCTGATGAAAACTCTGCATCTAAAAAATAGGGAAGCAACAACTCAACTTCTAGACCTGCACAACTCGTCATATGTGCACATCTTGCCCTGGTCCACAACTTTACAAAACACTGGAGAGAGGGTTTGTTCTCCTGTCTTGCATTCAGCTTGGATCTACAAAAATCTGACATTCATATCAAAGCCAAATTGACCAACTTTGAGAACAGGAGTTATCTATTACTCACACCTAATATATTCCTTGTTGTTTTAATACTTTCCAAGAGTAAGTTAAGATGCATCCTTTGATCATTTACTTGTTCAACAATGTCTCCTGAGAATCTTGCCTCCTGCTTTCTTTGCTAGGGGTATTTCCCCACTTTCAGACACAGAGTGCGATGATAATCTAAGCCATTTATCAAACATTTATGCGTGGAAGTTATTTTGCATTCCCTGTTAACGGATACATTTTTTTTAAAAGTAAGTCAGGTTTGGTGCTGGAAGGTGCATGTATAACTACTTTTCCACTGTGATTTTTTAAAAACGCCAAAAAAGAAGACTGCTCCCCACTTTTTTATGAGAACCGTAAATAGCTGTTTCCAGGATTCATATATGAGATTATGAGAACAGATTCAGTTCCAGTAGGAAGCTTGTAATGAATACGGCAAATGAGCCTGTATAAAGTTCTGATTGCATTCTCAGTGAAATGAGAGTCAATTAACTTACACCAAACCTTTTTTAAAGGACGACTTTGGTTTTCATTACCAGAAACAGGCACGACTCAGCTGTGCATTATAGCTGCGGTGCTTCTGGTAAGTACTGATGAGCTTAGCTGTTATGCCATAGCATAGGAATCCCATGGGATATTATGTGGCGAGTGATACAGCAGTCCATACCTTTCTGTAATATGCAGAGAGTGGATACGCCCAGATGCTGAAAGCGATTCTCTTGGTGAATAAGATACTTGATGAGGTATTGCTGTACCTTGCTCATATGAGATTTCAACAAAGACACCACCTCTTCTGTGCAATTAATTTGGAGACAGGAATAATTACAAAACTGAATGCACGAGGCAACATTTTACACACTTAACCTGGGAGTAAGTCACTGAACAAAGTGGGATTTCTTCTGTGTAAACATACACTGTAAAATGTTGATACCCCATTACATTGCTGATGCACTACTTGGTTTTCTTGTTACTAAGTTGTTGGGTGAATGACAAATTATAAATTGGTATTCAT